CAGATAAATTACTGAATTCTGTTCTAATCATTCTGTTAATTTGCCCTGCTGTTCTTATATGTTTAACATTCATTTTTGTGAGTAAAAATAAGTTACCTCTAACATACTAAATTCATATTATACATGGAGTCCCTATGTTACTTTCTCATTTTAGGGAAATTTCTGGATTTGTTTTAAATTTTTTTTTTGGTTAACAATCACCTGTTGTTATTGTAGAAATTATTCTGTTCACTTCACTCTGCTTCAGGTCATACAAGTCTTCCCAGGTTTCTATGACACTGTCTCCCTTCATAATTTCTTAGGATACAATAATATTCTATTATATTCATATGCCATAATTTTTTAACTATTCCTCATGAATATCCTCTAAGATTCCATTTCTTTGCCACTACAAAAAGAACTGTTATATTAAAAAACATATATCAGTTCTTTTCCTCTTTCTTCGATGTCTTTGGGGTAAAGGACTACTAATGGCATTGCTAGATCAAAGGGTGTATACAATTGAACCCATATACTTGTGAGCCATAGTTAGTATTGTCCCTGGGATGTCAGGGTGAAGGTTAACAATGATTGGGTACAGGTCCGAGAATGTTCCCTGTGGCCCAGTTAAGTGATCTCCTGGTCCTAGACATAAATGTACATGTTTTTTCCCTCATATTTAAGCTCCTTGAGGGCAGGATCTATTTTTTTTCTTGTCTTTGTCTCTCCATTGCCTAACAAAATTCCTGGCACATAATAGGTGTTTAATAAATAGTTTGTTTACATTAATTGATTAATTGGTGCCAGGATCCCTATTTAAGAGAGGGAGAGAATAAATGGTATTTTTCCAAAAATATACTATGGGGCTGGAGAAGAAGAAAAAAAAAAGAAGAATAGAAGAACCAAAGAAAGGAAAATAGAAAGGAGAGCTAGAAGTTTTGTCCTCATACTGTTTGGGAGACATGGAATAGAAGAACATGAGAACCCTAGAGACCGATCTTCGCCTTGATTGAAAAACTGCATGGATGAGGGAGCTGGGAAAAACCATCAAGAATAAGAGTAAGACAGAGAGACAGAGAGACAGAAACAAAGAGACAGAGAGAGAGAGAGAGAGACAGAGAAACAGAGAGAGAGAGAGAGGAGAAAGAATGAGAGACAGAGAGAGAGAATGAGAGACAGCGAGACACAGAGAGAGAAAAAGAGACAGAGGAGGGACAGAGAGAGAGAGAAAGACAGAGACAGAGAGAGACAGAGACACAGAGACACAGACTGAGAGAGAAGCTGCCCTGCCCTACTTTGAGTGATGGGGAACGATGGGAAAACAAAAGACTTGGAGCCTGGTGTGGGTCAGAGGAGTCCTTATGTTCAGGACTCTAGTAATTTTGGGGCTTTACATACATCTTTGGGACTCAGAATTGCTCCTCTAAGAGTCTCTATCTTATTTTCTTCCTCTTTAGAATATAAACTCCTTATATTATTATTCAGTTCCATGAATTTTGAACTATAACACTTTTTATTTTAATTTTGACAAGGCAGGGCCTTGTGTCATTCTGTGTTTTGAGTGCAACACTTTCTGAATAATACTTTCTCAGACTGGTAGATCAGTAGAGGTGGTTGTTTTACTTGACCACTTTGGGTCACCTTATTTATCTTTATTAGATTTTTTTTTTCTTGTGGAGTTATGACTATAGTCATAAACTATAAACTTATATAAAATTATAAACATAAAACTAGTGTATGTACCAGAATCTTGTTCTTTGGATTATCTGAAGGCTGATATTACAAATGAAATCCTTTCATTCATTAACAGCAACTGATGAAAATTTTTACAGATTTCTAAAATTGAGTAAGCAATATATAGCACAGAACAGTGGTTATGTTGAATTTTAATAAGAAATATGTCAATATTTTTTGAAATTTGCATAATTACCCTTTCAAAAAAAATTTTTTTTTCTAGGATTTATATTTTGATTTTATTAAAGCTTAAAACTGCACTAAGACTTTTGGAACATACTGCATATTCCCAGTGCTTAGCACATGGTAGGAGTTTGTTTATTGATTAATTGATTTACTTCTTTAAAAGTAACCAACTTGACTATCAAGGGAATCAAGGGGGGAAAAAGTAAAGGAAGGGGGCCTTATCTAGTACTGGCTAAGAAATAGAGTGGTGAATTAATAGAATAGATTAGGCACACTATACACATTATTAATTGACCATAATAATCTAATGTTTGATAAACCCAAAGATCCAAGCTTTTGAGACAAGAACTTACTATCTGACAAAAAACTGCTGGGAGAACTGGAAAGCAGTTTGGTAAAAACTAAGTACAGACCAACATCTCATAACATATACTAAGATAAGATCAAAATGATTACATGATTTAGACGTAAAGGGTGGTAACTTCAGTAAATTAAGGGAGCGTGGAATAGTTTACTTGTCAGATCTATGGATAAGGGAAGAATTTATCACCAAACAAAAGATAGAGAGCATTACAGGATGTAAAATGGATAATTTTGATTACATTAGATTAAAAAGTTTTTGCACAAACAAACCCAATGGAGCCAAGATTAGATGGAAAACTGAAAACTGGGGTGAGGGGGGAGTCAGGGGGAGTAGGATAGGGGAGGAACAGAATTTACAGTTAATTCTCTGATAAAGGCCTTATTTCTCAAATATATAGAGAACTATGTCAAATTTATAAGAATATAAGTCATTCCCCAATTGATAAGTGGTAAAAGGATATAAACAGGCAGTTCTCAGATGAAGAAATTAAAGCCATCTCTAGTCATATGAAAAAATGCTCTAGGTCAGAGCTTCTTAAACTTTTTACACTTGGCCAAAAAATTTTTACACAACCCTGGGTATATAAGTATATAAATTAGATATACAAATCAAACATTTACTGATAATAAACCATAAAGAAATAAACCAGAAAGAAAGTGCTCTAGATCATTATTGATTGGAGAAATGCAAATCAAAACAACTCTGAGATACCATCTTATACCTATCAAATTGGCTAATGTGAGAGAAAAGGAAAATGACAAATGCTGGAGGGGATGTGGAAAAATTGGAATACTGTTGGTGAAGTTGTGAACTGATCCAACCATTCTGGAGGACAATTTGGAACTATGCCCAAAGGACTATAAAACTGTGCGTACCCTTTAACCCAGCAATACCACTACTAGGTCTGTATCCTAAAGAGACTGAAAAAAAAAAAAAAAGGAAAAGGACCTATACACACAAAATATTTATAGCAGCTCTTTTTGTGGTGGCAAAGAATTGGAAATTGAGGAGATGGCCATCAATAGAGGAATGGCTGAACAAGTTGTGGTATGTGATTGTGATAGAATATCATTGTGCTATAAGAAATGAGGCGTAGGATGGTTTCAGAAAAACCTGGGAAGATTTAAATGAACTGATGCAAAATGAAGTGAGCAGAACCATGAGGACATTGTACATTATGACAGCAATATTTTATGATGATCAACTATGAATGACTTAGCTATTCTCAGCAATACAATGATCCAAGACAATTCCAAAGGACTTTTGATGGAAAATGCTATCCACCTCCAAAGAAAAACTGATGGAGTCTGAATGAAGATCAAAGCATACTTTTTTTTAAAACTACTTTTTGTGGGGGTTTTTCCTTGATTTGTGTTTTACAACAAAACTAATATGAAAATGTATTTTATGTGACTGCACATGTATAACCTATATCAGATTGCTTGCCTTCTCAATAAGGTAGGGAATTTGGAGCTCAAAATTTTAAAAAATGAATGTTAAAGATTGTTTTTATGTGTAATTAAAAAATAAAATATTAAAAAATATAAAAGTAACCAACTCTCTTTTACATTATTATTACTGTATGTGGAGTAAGTGAAGATGAGTACCATGCAGCCATTTCCAAAGAAAGTAAAAAAATCCAAGCCTTTCATGTCCTGAAAGTCTCAGACACAAGGGTTACAATAATATCCCATATCCCAAGGTGCTTTTAGCATTGAAAAGCACTTTCAAATCCATTATTTCATTTGACCCTTACAACACTCCAGTGAGTTACTTCTATCCCCATTTGACAGAGAGGAAAATGAGGCCTAGAGAGGGGAGGTAAATGACTTGCCTAAAGCCATACTGGGAGTTAGTCAGAAAGCCAGGGCTACAGCCCATATCTCTCAACTCCAAGCCTATTGCTTTCTTCCTATACCCCTCAATGCCCGTTCTAGCTAAGAGGTTGCAGCCTGTGTCTATGACTTTCCCACAGGGGATATCCGTAAAGGAATGCCACACTTCCTGCTCCTTAGTCCAGATAAGCCAGTGAGTGGGTCAACATCAAATGAGAGTCCTAATGGATTCACACCTCCTCCCTCTAACTCTGTACTCCAGTTCTATATCTATAGGCTCATACTCTGAGAATTGAAAGGTTCTTCAGAATCCAAATAGTTCTACCTCCTTATTGTATGCTTAACTCTTATCTCTACCACTTAGGGCTCCATTTAGTTATTATTCATGGTCAGCTTTGGTTCTATTCAGTCCTGTTCTGACAGATGAAAGCGCAGCATATTTCCCCAGCTTCTCTCTGTTTTCCCCACCAAAGGGCATCACTCCATAAAAAGTGTCTCTTCAACACCCTTACAAAAAGTTGATGGGAATAAGGAAGATAAGAAATTTAAGTATATAGAGGAGAAAGGATGGATAAAAATCAGGAAAAGTTTGTAAAGGGCGTGGACTGCCCAGTTTTGTCCTTGAGTCCCAAGGGGTGGGACTCAGGGTCCCCTCTTTGATCTCCAAGAGCCTCAGGACTTTCCTAGAAAGCTCAATCCACCTTCCCCCTACCCTCTTTTCGAGGAACAGGTATGAACTCTTCCCTCACTCCCCCCCCCACCCCCTTACACCCCTCCCTCCCAGATAGGCACACCACTTCCTGCACAGCCTGACTGAAGCCACTGTCAACTTCCTCCCCTAGCAGAGGAAGTGGGGAGCTGAACCAGGTGCAGCAAGAAGACACCAAGACTATGGTGAGCCCTTCTTGGGAGGCTCGGCATCTTCAGTATCCCTCCTCAGACCTTACAGGACTCACAGCCCTATTCCTTAAGTTGTATGACATGACTGCCCCACCCAATCCTCAGGCCCCAGCCTTCATTCACCTTCCCACTAGCCTCCCTCTCCAGCATCCCCAACACATCTCTCCCCAGCAGCCTCTTCTCTCTCTCCTCTGTCTCTCTGTCTCTCTATGCTCTCCATTCAGCTTTTGCTCCATCCTGCAGCCTCCTCCTCTTTCCTCCCAAGCCCTAGCCTCCTCACTCCTACATTTTCTTCCCATTGCAGGACAAAGAATATGTGGGCTTCGCAGCCCTGCCCAGTCAGCTGCACAGAAAATCTGTGAAGAAAGGATTTGAGTTCACTCTCATGGTGGCAGGTGAGGGGTCTCTGGGTGGGAAACTACTCTCTTTAGAAACATAAGGTCCCCCCCAAAAAAAGTGAGGTCCAGCAGGCAAGGGGTAGGGAGGCGGTCCATTTTTCTCTGTATTTGACCAGCCTGGTTGATCCCATTAGGGGAGTCAGGCCTGGGGAAGTCAACACTTATCAACAGCCTCTTCCTTACCGACCTTTACAAGGACCGACTGATACCTGATGCCAGTGGTGAGTGAAGGGCCCCTGGCCGGGATGTGATGTTCTTCTCCCTCTCTGGCTTTTCAGTCTCCCTCAGACCGCTTCCTTTCTTGATCCTTCAGCCTACCTTATCAAGCTCTCCATCTCTCTGGTCACAGGTTGGTTGTGCTGTAGTGGTTAGGCTAGGGTGGGAGACAGACTGAGAAATCCAGTCATACTTAAGGCTGGAGACACTGGCCATCTCCAGTTCCCTTCTCCCTTAACATTTCGTCTTCCCTTCAAGAGATCTTTCACCCTCCCAAGTCACTGTTCCTTTCCTCTCTTTGAACTTTCCTGCTGCTGTCTCCCTTCCCTCCTGGCACCCACTCTCTTCCCTTTTCCTTTGTGGGATGTTCCTTCGATCAATGTCTTGCCCTGGTACAGCTCGCCTGAGCCAGACCCTGACCATTGAGCGCAGGGGTGTGGAGATTGAAGAGGAAGGAATCAAAGTGAAGCTCACCCTGGTGGACACCCCAGGTTTTGGTGATGCAGTGGACAATGGAGACTGGTGAGACTTGGGGACAGAGAGCATGGGCCATGGGGAGAAGGTTCTGACCCAAAGCAGGTAAAGTCAACATTGCAGGTGATTAATAATAATTAATCCAATTAGACGGATTTGATTTGACAGCCTGAGAAGGGAAAATGGCCTCAAGCACAGGCTCTTGGTAGCAGAAAGATCGCAAAGGAAGAGGAAGCTGAACAAGAATAAGCTTTCCAGTCCTTAGAGCTAGGGATTGGGATCCATGGATCCTGACAGACTTCAGGGAGTCTGTGAACTTGGATGGGGCAAAAGTCGTATGTTCTTTTTAATATAGTTGGTTTCCTTTGTAAGCATATGTATTTTATTTTATGCATTTAAAAATACCATTCCGAGAAGAGGTCCATGGGCTTCTCCAGAATGCCGAAGGTGTAGGGGACATAAAAAAGCTTAAGAACCCTTGGCTTAGGGTAACCAGGGGGAGGCGGGGCAACAAGGAGAATGAAGGGGAAAAGGGTAGGGCCTGGGGCTGGGGGAAGTCATGGAAAAGAGATTTGGGAGCTTGATCAGGCTTGTCTCCCTAGATCATTGTCTCCCCTGGGTTTCCCTGACCTAGAATCCCCAAATGGAAGATAGAGCTACCAACCAGGAGCCTTTGGGCATTTGATCTGGATACAAGCTGGTTTGGGAGCATGGAGATGGCAGGATAGGATCCCTCATGTTCAGCTACAGAAAGAAATCTGTTCGACTTCTGGGTCAGGAGCACCAGATGTCATTACTCTGGACCTCCTGGTGTAGTGGGTGGGAAGGGGTTAGAGAACAATCATCTGAAAATCCAGGGGGCTCAGAGTGAGCTCAGTTCCTTTGATCCACACATGCATGTATATATACCACTTCCAATGTTGGAACTTTACTGGAGAGAACAGCAAAGACAAATCCAATCTGTCCTAACCCCTACTTTGGGGGCCCTCTTCAATTCTCAAGGCTCTCCAGTAACAGAGATTCTGGTGTTCTGTTCTAGGGTCAGAAGCATTGGCTGCTGGCAAACCTTATTTCCATTTGTGCCTAGCCCTCTATTTCAGAACTCCGTGGAAAAAGAGAACAATGAGTTTGATTGCTGCCACATACTCTTATTAACTGTGTCTCTGAGCCAGTCACTTAGCTTCTGTCAGCCTCAGTTGCCTCATCTGTATAATGGGCATAATAATCACTCTGACCTCCCACCATCGTTGTGAGGATCAAATGATATATTACTTGTAAATCACTTTGTAAACTTTAAAGCAGCCATATAAATTCTCGAGATCATCTTCAGGGTCCTAATTCTTCTGAGCTCGGCTGCAGGTCTCCCTCATCTAGCTGTTTTCTTCCTCTGGCCTCCTCTTCGCTCCTCTCTGCCATAGGCTGAGTTTGACATGTATGTACAGTACTTGATCACCTGTACTTGCTGGTCTAGCAGGCTCAGTCTGGAGTGAGGGAGAATCACCAGATTCCCATCACAGCCCTGCCAAGGCCCCCACTTTCCGTGCCTCTGCTCCAGAGCCTGAGTTGATTCTCTCCTATTCCCCAATCCTTCCTAGCTGGATGCCCGTGGTTCGATTCATCGAGGAACAGTTCGAACAGTATCTGAGGGATGAGAGTGGTCTCAACAGGAAGAACATACAGGATTCCAGGGTCCATTGCTGTCTCTACTTCATTTCTCCCTTTGGTCGAGGGTAAGGGGAGGAGAGGAGACCCTCCAGCCCTAAGGGTAGGAATGAGAGATGGGCAAATACAGTTTCTGGCCAGAAAGTTTTCCTACCCAGGCTAAAGAGGGAGGCCGCCTAGAGAGACTCTTCAGCCACTCTGTGCCTTCTTTTTGGGATGGAGTCAGGATGGTAAATGTTTAACAATCAGCTCTCTCTCTCAAAAAAAGGGGGGGGAAACGAGATTCACTTTTAAGTTTAATTTGTTATTAACATTTCTTCATCACTTTCTTAAGTCTAAAAATTAATAAAATAATAAGTCAAGCCCTGATAATGAAATAGCCTTTGCAGCTTTTCAAGGTGTAAATGGTTAAACTGAAAATGTTACATCAGGGCAGCCTAAATAAGCTGACTCCTGCATACCACTGGACTTTGGGCAGTATAGTATATTGGAAAGAATTAAGGAACATAGAATGTCACAACTAAGTGGGACCTTAGAGATCACCTAACCTAACCCTCTAACTTAACCCATTGGGAGAATCCAGAACTAGAAGTCAAGAGAATTGGGTTCTAGTTCTGGTTCTGTCAATTTGTTGTATGACCTTAAGCAAATTATGGCTCCTCTCTGGGACTCAGTTTCCTCCCATGAAAAATGAGGAGACTGGACTTTATCACTTTGGGGGTGCAGCTCACCTAATCTGGCTCATCTGACCCTGAATCCCCAGCTCAACTAGGAAGTCTGAGGGCATTCGAGCAGGGATACTGAGGAAATTTCTCAACTGGGTAGATTGGATTAGACATCTTCTAAGGTCACCCCCTCATCCCGCCCCCACCTGTAAGTTTCTATGATCTGATTCTCATCCTTGGGGATGGAAAAGAGAAAGCTTCCTCCCACCACCCCACCCCAGTTGCCTAGGGAGGGGATAGAGGTAGGGCAGGTAGGGCAAGGGCAATAAGGCCCTGGGTGGGGTGGAAAGAGGTAGAAGTCTAGACCCTGACTGCCTTTGTGGCTTAGGCTCCGCCCCTTAGATGTGGCATTCCTCCGGGCTGTGCATGACAAGGTCAACATTGTCCCTGTCATTGGGAAAGCTGATGCCCTGACTCCTAAGGAAACCCAGATTCTCAAGCAGAAGGTATGTTTGGGGAGGGCAGATGTGTGCTGGGGGGTTGGGGGTGCGGGTGGTGGTGGTTCTAATCTCTGACCTCTTTCCTTAGCCCTAAAAGAAGCCAAAGTTTAAGCTAATGTTTTACCCCATCTCTAATACCTCCTCCTCTCTTCTACACTCGGACTGACTTTTTCTTTTTTCAAGAAAGGATTTAAACTTAACAATGAATTTCCTGATAGGGAGGGGAGTATTTAGGCTCTAAAAGAGATTTTCTAAAGGACCTTGTGGGCTACTCTGCCCAGGAGGCTTTAAAAACATGATTGAAAAACTTCACACTATAGGGTGATTTAGGTACAAGCCAGCTTGCCGGCAGCATAGCTATGATGAGAACCAAGTAGTAGATTGAGACTTGCAGTCTGCCTCAGGCACTTAGCTGAGTTACTTAGGGCAATCACTTCACTTAGGGCCTTAGGTGACTATCAGTAAAATCTGGATCAAAACACCTGGGAGTAAAGGGAAGCTTTGTTATGATGATTCTTTTTTTTGGAAGTTTGATAATTAATTTATTTATTTTTAGTTTTCAACATTCACTTCCATAAGATTTTGAGTTTTAACTTTTCTCCCCCCTCCCTTTCCTCTTCCCTCCCCAAGATGGTGTGCAATCTGACATAGGCTCTACTTATACATATGATGATGTTCTAATGGCCTGAGGACCAGGATGCTTCTTCAGGTTTGTCATCTGTTCTCTGGTGTATTTCCTCTCTTTGGCCAGATCCGGGAGCAGCTGGAGGAACAGGAGATCAACATTTACCAGTTTCCAGACTGTGATTCTGATGAGGATGAAGACTTCAAGAAACAGGATGCTGAGATGAAAGTGAGGGCCAAGAGGGTAGAGGCTCTTATGGGACCAAGAGTCAGATGACAAATGTCAGAGAAGAGGAAGTGAAAGGCAAGGGAGGAGAATGGGAACTGTTAGCAAGGTGAGACCTCTCCAGTGACTCATATTCCTGGCTATGTCGTTTGACCTTTGCCCTGCCTCAGGAGAGCATCCCTTTTGCTGTGATTGGTTCCAGTACCGTGGTGAGGGACGGTGCCACCCGGCCGGTGAGGGGTCGCCTCTACCCCTGGGGAGCAGCAGAAGGTAAGGAGAGCTGAGGAGAGGTTGAGGATTCAGCAAAGGAGGAAGTTCTGGTCTGGCCTCTTACAGTCTCTAAGAAGTTAATAAACCCATGACAATGGCTTAGACAGGGCAGGTAGAGGGAGAACCTCCACAGGTCAGAGGCATAGCCAAAAGTGAACATCTTTGAGGGAGAAGTCCTGTATTTGATTAGAGGATGAACGAATGATTGAGGGAATGAATGAATGAATGAATGAATAAATGAAAAAGTATTTATTAAGCACTTACTATACGCCATGACGTCGGACATCACTTCATCTTTTTGGGCCTCAGCTTCCTTATCTATATGTAAGGGAAATGGTTCCCCTTCTCCATCACAGTTGATGTGGTCACAGATTGAGAAAACTGGAATCATACGTTGTTACAAGGTGTTTAATTGACTATAGAATCTGTCTTCGCCTACATAGAACATCATAAGAGTTTGGCCAAATGATCTTGAGGTCCCTTCCATCTCTGACATTCTATGGTTCTAAACAGTTTTCCATCGATTCCAATGTTCCCAAATGTGGTCATGACACTTTCCACTGTTTCTGTTCCCTTCCAACACTCTCTCCTTAATATCCTGCCAGTGGAAAACCCTCATCACTGTGACTTCCTCAACCTGAGACGGATGCTAGTACAGACCCACTTACAGGACCTGAAGGAGGTGACGCACGACCTGCTCTACGAAGGCTACCGAGCCCGTTGTCTTCAGAGTTTGGCCCGTCCTGGGGCCCGGGAACGCACTGGTCGCAGGTGAGAAGGCCTCCAAGGCCACACAAACCTTTCCCCAACCCTAGATTCTAGCTGGGGCAAAGGAAGGTGGTATGTGAGTGGCCTGGGGTGGGCTAGGGGGAGACGGGACTCATCTATCGATAAGTTCCAAATCTCTTCCTTTCTCCTCCCTGCCTTCAGCAAGTTGTCTCGACAGAGTGCCACTGAAATACCCCTCCCCATGCTGCCCCTGGCAGACACAGAGAAACTTATCAGAGAAAAAGATGAGGAGGTGAGTTCCTTTGGCTGCCTCCCCCAACCCCAAGGCGGAGCTGGGAGTCCCACCCCATCCCCTCAGCTGCCAGGGAGGGGCCCATCTCACATCCAGCTGTTTTCTCCAACATCTTACTCCTGCAGCTGCGCCGGATGCAGGAGATGCTGGAGAAGATGCAAGCCCAGATGCAGCAGAGCCAGGGAGAACAGTCTGATGTCCTTTGAACCCACCGTTTTCCTCTTACTTATTCCTTTTTTATACTCTGGGGACTTGCTTCCAGTCCTGCCCTTTCTCCCCTAGTCTCTCAGGACCCAAACAAACTGCACAGCACTAACTTCCCTTGACTCCCTCCCAAAACATACCTGACTGAGCTCTAACCCTTAGCTTATCCCATCCCACTGAGGCTGATTTCCTTCTCCATGGCTATTTGGGATTCCTGCTGCCCTCCCTGCAGCCCCTCAATCCCCATCTCACATTCCCAGATGTCCTCTATTCCATCGGATCTTGTGCAACACGAATACCCTTCTCCGTTTGCTTCTGCTCCTTGTTCAGTCAGTCAGTCATCTGTCAAAATTGATCTTGTTCTTCACAACAAGCATTTATTAAGCGCTTACTGTGTACCCCAATGTCTTGAAATAAAAGTTGATTTCCTTAAGAGTCCCTGCTCTGTATATTGCTGAAAGGGCTGGGGAGAATGGTCTGGTGTTGGGGCGGGGCAGGGGAAGATGAGGGAAGAAGAATTTTGAAAGGTGGTCTGTGGCCTGGAAAATACCTGTTTAATGTTTGAGCCAAGAGTGGACAGTAGGAACAAGTAGACAGAAGGCTTCCTTGTAGGAGCAGAGAGGCCCAACCCTGCTACACGCCAGACTGGAACAGGGAGGGGGTGGGGGAGGACGAAGGGAGTGGCTGAGACTGGAGAAACCAGATAGCCACGGAGCCTAATGGAGTTATAGCTCTTAGCTGCCATCAGACTAAAGGGCTGGAATGGGAGGGAAGGGAAGGAGAGCAGAGTGATGAAAGGCCGTGTTGGGCCCCACCCCCACCCCGGACTGAATCGGGATATCAGTCCATCCCTGCCTCTAGCGGCAGATGTCCCAGAAGCATCATCCTGCAGGGCCCTCCCCTCTCATCCTCTCCACTAACATACCCTCCTTCTTCCCTTTACATCCATCTCCTAACACACACTCCCCTTCTTACGTTCTGCATGTGCCCTCCATCCCCACAAACACTCCTCCCAAACATACACTTCCTACACTCATGCACATATATACTCTCTCTGTATATGTATATATGTATGTATATACATACACTCCTCCCACATATATAAAACATGCATACTATATACATTCCCCTGCAGCATGCCCCTACATATATTTATACTCCTCCCACAAATATGCATTTTTAGACATATATGTTTGCCTTTCCTCTACATACAAGTACATTCTTTTTTTAATCTTTTTAAAAATTTTTTCTTATTCATTTATTTATTTTTAGTTTTCAACATTCGCTTCCACAAGATTTCATACATGTACATTCTTGCTAGATGCTTATGAACTTTCTCTCCTCACATATAAACTCTCCACAAACACATTCCCCATATACATACATTCTCTTCTTTGCATATACATGCCCTCCATGAATTGGACCATATACACAACCTCTACTGTGCATATACATTTCCCTCATATGGACATAAGGTCATAGGATCCTGGATTTGGAGCTAGAAAAGATATTAAAAGTTCTCCAGTCCAGGTCCCTCATTTTAGCAATGAGGACACTGAGATCCAAAGAGGAGAAGAGACTTATTTGTGTGGCCTTAAGGAAGTCATTGGTAGTAGTATTGTGTAGTGGGTAAGAGACTTAAACCTTGAGTCAGGAAAATTGGATTCAAAGCCCAACTGTGACATTTACTATTATATGACCCTGAGCAAGTCACTAACTTCTCTGTGCCTCCAGTTCCTCATCTGTAAAATGGGGAGGTTGTACTTGGTAATTTCTAAGGTTCCTTCCAGCTCTATCATTCCATGGGTGCAGACAAACCTACCCTCCTTTCCTACTCACTGTTCTTTGCGTCTCTTTTTTGTCCCAAAATACTCCTGTTTGGTTGAAAATAGAGTACCCCAAGGTCTACTCTATGGAGATATGGAGGAGGAGGCCGGAGATCCTGACTTGATTCTAGATCCCCTTCTTATCACTCCAGGCCCAGCTCTGCCCTCTCATGGAATCCAACCAGAGTTTTCCCACAAAAGCCTTTCTAGAAGGGATTCCCTTCATGAGCAGGTTTCCAGCGGAGCTTTTTTCAGTCCTAACCCCCTTTTCTCCAGATTTGCTCACTTCAGGTGAAAATAAAGATCCTCTCTCTTCCCCTCAACCCTCCTCCACAGAAAGATATTGGGACGTCATCAATAAGAAACACAAGTTCATCTTTATTTGGGGAATAAAGGGATTCAGATCCAGAGGAGCTCAACGCTCCCCATTCTGGGGACCAAATGAAGGGAGGTCGAGGCTCTGGAGGCCCCTACTCCTGGTCCTTGGCGTCTCCATGGGTGATGACATAGCAGATATTCTTGTAGTCTACATTGCCGCCCACATCTGGGGGGAAGGCTGCCCACATGTTCTTGATCTGCGATAGAGACGGGACAAGTCAGATAGAAGGAATCATTTCCCACAGGAGCCTCTCTCTCCTCTCTCTTTCCTCCCCTAAATAGATAAGCTTTCCCTCTTCCTTCTCCTCAATTTTCTTCCTCCAAAAAACTCACCTCCTCCTGAGAGAATCGGTCACACTGGGTTGTAAGCAGCTCCTCTAGACTGGGGAGGAAAGAGGAATTATAGGGAATCAATCAGTTTATTTTGGAGAACAGTGACTACCTCCCTACCCAAAAAAGAAAGAAATAAAGAGGCAGGGGAAGGTATATACATATACAGATACAGATACAGATACAGATACAGATACAGATACAGATACATATAAATATGTATGAGGCAGGAAAATACTGGGGTTAGAAACTTGGGGCAGGGAATGAAGGGAGAGCATAGGACCTTAGACACAGGGAGAGGGCTGCCCACGAACAGACCAATAAACCACTACTCACAACTGCTTCTTAATGGATCCCTTCCCCTCGGGGTCCAGGACTTTGAAGGCTCCAGTGATCACATCCTCTGGATCAGCACCTGGGGACAGGGAGGGCTGGAAGCTAAGTTCCCATGTTTTAGGGGGAAAGGAGTGTCTCTGGGGGAACAGAATCCTGGAGCCCCAAGGAGAGTTGGGTAAGAGGGGTGGTACCCAACACCTTTAAACTCACCCTTTAATTTCTCTCCAAACATGGTCAAGAAGACAGTGAAGTTGATGGGTCCACTGGCCTCCTTCATCATGGCTTCCAGTTCCTCATTCTTCACATTCAGTCGGCCTATGGGGTAGGATGGAGATAGCGAGGAGATAGGTTTCAAATTATACTCCTGGGAAAGGCAGGTTAATAGGGAGGAAACTGGTAGGAGGAATGAGCTAGACAATAGGATTCTGGGAGCAGGATTAAGGTGGGAAGGGCCAGGAAGGAGTACAATGAGACCTGAGGATGAGTCTCAGCAGTGCCACTGAATGATCGTGTAACCTTGGGCAAATCACCTCTCTGTGCCTTTGGCTCCTCCTCTGGAAAATGGAGAGATTGGACTAAGTGATAAATAATGTTCCTTCCAACTGTAATTAATGTTCCTCCTAACTTTCTTGGTCTCTATGAGAAGCTGAGACAGAGGAAATAAGTCACTCAAGTTCTGACAGAGAACAGTGGCTACCAGAGGCTAAGACAGAAAAGGCTAAGAGGCCTGGGGGTTTGTGTTTGGATCCCAGAAGTGGAAAAATATATGATCAGGACTTCCGGGCTGAGCGGCAGAGGTACTCTTACCCATGGCTGCAAAGGTGTCCCTTAGGTCTTCTTTGTCAATGATGCCATCTCGGTTTTGGTCAATGACGGTGAAGGCCTAGCGAGGGAGGGGATTGTTGAGGTATAGGAAAAGAGAGGGTATTGGGGTTCTATTTTCCTCTTCATTTCTAGGACTGAAGCTCTTCTTAATCTCTTTTCCTCAGGCCCCCAGCTTCATACTCTCTGTGCCATTCCATCACCCCACCCCAGCTGTCCCTCTGCTAGGTCAGCCCCTGGATGGAAGGAATCCTTCATCTCCCTTTCCTTCCCTTCACCCCTCCCCCCACTCTGGGACAGGTGCACATTCCAGGGAGGGGTGGGGGAAGGAAAGGAGGGAGAAGAACCCAGAGTTGGAGGAAATCATGTTGACTGACAGCTGGGGGGCCAGTACACCTGGCTTCATGAGGCAGCCTGGCACCAGGACTCCTCACTCTCTCATCGTCTCCCCTCATCCCTTCTATTCCCAATGCCTACACCCCCTGCCCCCTTACCTCCTTAAACTCCTGGATTTGTGTTTGGTCAAACATGGAGAAGACATTGGAGCTGCCACCCTCTGCTGCCCTTCTCTTGGCCTTCTTGGGTGCCTGAGGGGAGAGGAGATGGGCAGACAAAAAGGTCAGATGCCTGGGACCTGCATGCTAGAAAGACCTAGTGGAAATCTTTGGAGAATCACCGACTGCAGAGCAGTAGGGAGGGGAAGACAGGTTAACGTCCTTGGTGCAGGAGTTAGCTTGTGGAGGTCAGGAATGGAATGACTGAAGGCTGCTTGCAAGAGTTCCTACCCCTTCCGGGCCCCCCTTGCTTATGTGTGGCCTCTGTCACACACTCATCATGACCCCAGTCCCCAGAGCATGGAGGTGGAGAGAGAAGTAATGGTGATGGTGGTGGTGGTGATGGTAGTAGTGATAGGGCCAGGAGATCTATAAGGAACAGGCCGGAAAGTAGGGTAGTTCCCTTGGAGTGCCTGTTTCTCTCTCTCTCTCTCTCTCTCTCTCTCTCTCTCTCCCTCTCTCTCTCTCTCTCTCTCACTTTTCTTATAGAGACACAACTCTCTCCCTTTAGTTGGACAGATAGACATCAGTTACCTCTGTGTGACTTAAAGCTGGGTGATCAGTGAATCTAGCTGGTGTAATGCCACATCAAGGTACATTGTGGGGACAAAGGTTCAGTTATCACAGTAAAGTCAGACCATGGTTATTAGCCTCATTGTCTCTGTAACCAGGGTATCATGAAGTGCTTCTGCTACCCCAGTAAGCTCTGATACAGGACTTCATTCTATGGACATTCTGACATCACTGAAGATTTGGGAGAAGGAAGAGGGCAGGATCAGAGCTGTACTTCAGGTACCTCTACCACTAGCTTTTATGATCTCAAGCAGATCATTTACCCTCCCTGGGCCTCAGTTTCCTCATCTGTAAAACAAAGCTATTGGGACTAGATGGCCTATTTAGAGCCCTTTAAATCCTATTATCTTACTGACTAGCCTGTGGATTCTCCTTCCAGGTAAGAGTGTGTGTGTGTGTGTGTGTGTGTGTGTGTGTGTGTGTATGGGGGCGAAGTGCAGTGAGGATTTCATGACAGTCGCCTAAGATCTTTCTTTGTTCCTAGAATAACTCTTTGTGAGGACACTGGGTTTTCTTACAATAGCGAAGGTGGAGGTGAGAGGGGACTGTCAATCATATCCAGTATCCCTGTCTTACAGTAATGCTGACTGGGTTTTCTTTCTGGCCTTAGGATTTAGACATGGAAGAGGTCAACCTCTCTGACCTGATGTACCCTGAGGTCAAGTTGGCAGGTCCTGATGCTTGAAAGCAAACACTGTCTTGCTATTTATAGCTCCATGAAACTCCAATCTCAAGGTAATATTAGAGAGGGGGCGGGCTGGGAATTTCTTCTAAGGTGTTACTATAGCAATTACTGGAGTAATTTTAAGCACATCTTTTCTTGAGGGAACACTGACAGTTCCTAGAGTATAGTACACTTTCTAGTACAAGAACAATGTGATATTAGTTGGGCAGAGATTTCTTGTAGTCTTTTTGGGTGGGGTGGGTGGGGATGGAAGTGAGAGTGGCTAAGTAGGGGATGTTTCATCTATTCCCTTTTTATTGGTCTGTCTCCATCACTGAGTTCTAAAGTCTGCTTTGTTGCTCACTTGCTATGGGACCTTTCTCTATCAGTAAAGGGAAGGGATTGGACCAAGTGATCTTAGAGGTTATTTCTACCTTTAACATTTTGACATTTCATCATGTCAGAGGCACTACCCTCTTTGTTACACATTTTTCTAGAAGGTTGAACTTTTCTCCCTAGATCTCCACAGAACCATCCTCTTAGCTGTCTTACTTCTTCAAAAAATGTTCTTCCCCCCACCCCAAGTTGTCCTCTAACTTAACAGCTGGGGGTTAGAGTCTGAAGGTTTTAGGGTGGGGAGAAGGGAAGAGATCTCACTTACCATATCTTCTCTCTATGGGGCTGGGTGACGGCTCTGGTGGGACGCTGGAAGGAATCAGAGCAGAGTGACAAGACTTGGACAATTCCTCTGGGGTTATATACCCCACCCAGGGGAGCCCTTAACATACCAGGGTAACTTTAGCCGAGTCTTAGAGTTGGGGAGGGGAGGGGCTGATGGAGGGAGGAGGGATGAAAGGGGGGAACAGATGGCGACCCAAGATACCGAAATAGATCTAGCTCACAGGCCTCTCTCCTTTCTTGGAGAAGTGAGGGGGAGGGAAGCAATCGGAGATGGAGGGAGATCTTAGGGATGTTCTAACTCAGGCATGGTCTTCGTGGAGGACAAGTGTACCAGTGGGGGGGGAGTGGAGAGGCAGAATGTGGGGCGTGGCAGATGAAGTCAGGATGGGATGTTTTCACCTCCCCAGCAGGCACAAAGATTCAGGGGCACTAGACTGGGGAAGGAATGAGAAATCTGGGAAGTTAGCGTCTTCCTGGGCAGCAAAGGTGATACAAGAATGAATAAGACATAGCCCCTTTCTTAAGGAATTCACAGGGAAGCAAAACCTTTTCATAACAAGTTTGAGCTAACAATACCAGGAAGTGATGCTGGGTACCACATGTGTGTTCTCAACAGTAAGCTCAGTTGAGATTCAGAAGAAGAAAAGATCATTGTGGGATGGGGTGATCTGAGAAGACTCCATACAGGAGACGGGATTTAATCTAGGCTTTGACAAATAGATATAAATTAGAGAGGTTGGGAAAGGGCATTGCAAACTGGGAGACCAACATTAGCAAAGATACCAGAATGTGAATATGCGAGGCTGCAGAGGCAGCCATAGTGGATAGAGCCTTGGGTTTCAAGTCAGGAAGACCTGAGTTCAAATTTGACCTTAGACACTAGCTGTGTGTCCCAGGACAAATCACTTAAGCTCTTTGTGCCTCAGTTTCCTCATATGTAAAGTGAGGATAATAATAATATCTACTTCTCAGGGCCGTTTTTGAGGATTAAATGAGGTAATATTTGTAAAGCACCTGATACATAGTAGGTGATTAATAAATGCTTAGTCCCTTCCCTTTCTTCAGGAAATAGTGAATAGTTAGGCTTAGAAAGGAAGGTTGGGCCTAGAATATTGAGGGCCTTGAATGACAAGCTGAGTTCAGATTTGATTCTATGAACAATGGGGATCTACTGAAAGTTTGTGAGCAAGAGAAGGGCATGATGATCAAAACTGTTCTGACAAATAGTTCTGACAGGTTGTTCTGCCTTAGGTAGGGGAAAGGAGACCTGAAGGAAAGGATATAGTTTGAGGAAATGGCCAGGCTTAGACTCAAGTGACCCCCCAAAAAAGAGAGAAGCAGGTACTGTGTGGCCAAGGACCAGAAGGATGGAGAGTTAATGCAATAGAAAATGAGGTTAAGGCAAATGACAAGGCCTGAGAACATGGATAGGGCCCAGGAGGACAGGGGCCCCTAAAGAGCTTGTGTCTTCTGCAGGAACTTGCCATTCTGGGGAATGCTCCTTGCCTCTGAGAATGCCCCTCCCCCAGTACCACGCCAATGCCTCTAAGACATTTTCCTTTCTGGGCACTGAGGACAGTCAGTCCACCTGTTGTCTCTGATGGGAGGGGTGGGGAAGGAGCCACCTAAACTTAGCACCAGCTGCCCCCCTGCTGGCCTCCTAACCAACCCACCCCTCCCACCCTACCCCCTGACCCTCGGGCCCCACCGATGAAGAACCTTATATGGGCAACAGAGGCCCAGTGAAGTGGGGAGAGGGGACTTAGACCGTGGTGGAGGAAGTGGAGATAAATTATTCCTGGGGTCTGTCACTCCCCCTATATAGTATCTAAAAGGCAGGGGGCCTGGGTTCTGGGTAGGGGATGGAGTATCAGAAAGAAATCAAAGGGACATGGGAGTTTTTAGGTTGGCTATGGGTTCCAGAAAAAAGGAAATGTCAACCCAGGGAGAGATGAGGGAGGGAGTGGGAAAGGTGAGGAGACTGGAAAGATAGGGGATTGGATGCCTGAATTCTGGATAGAGAATATAATTACCATAAAAGAAAATATCAGGCCAATTCAGGGAACTCTGGAGCTTGTGGGTGGTTGAATACTTGAGTTCTAGGTGTGGAATTGGGTCCCAGAGTGTTATGAAGGAACCCGAGGCAGACTTGAAATCTGGGGGACTGGATGTACTGGGCGCTGGATTAAAAAAAATTATATCCTCCAGAGAAAGATCAAGGGATTGAGGGACTCTGGAAGAATTGGATGCCTGGGGTTTGAGTGGGGAATACGATCTCAGAGAGAACAAGGGCTTGACGGTTGGGACCTCTGATGTCTGAGTTCTGTTACTTCAAAAAAGAAAGTTTAGGAGATTCAGAAAAGTTGGGTGGGGAGTGGGGTCCTAGAGATAGTGGGATGCTGAGGGGACTGGAGAGTCGGGAGCCTTGGAAAAGTGGAATCTAGGTGGAGAATGGGATCCCAGAGAGAGTGATTTAGGGCTAAGGGCTTGCGGGGAGGTGTTGCAGCAGATCAAATCAAGACAGTGACCATTTATTAAGCGCCTACTATATGCCAGGAACTGTGCTAAGCACTGGAATCAATCAATCAACACGCTAAGGACAGAGCCACCTGGATTCTTGGAGGGGAAATGTTCCGGGGCCAGAGATTCATTCATTCCATTCATAGAACGTGTTTGAAGCTCCCACTGTGTGCAGAGCATTGCGAGGGGACATAAGGGCGCAGACAGAGGCAGGGATGCGGTGAGAAGGGGAGAAGGAGGTGCTGAGGCGATCTCCTGAGCTGTCCCCGACTGTCACCCGTCATCCGCTCTTCCCTCCCGCCACCTGCCACTGACTGTCACTGCCTGTCCCCAACGCCACTACTCCCGCTGGCAGCCGTGGGACCTTCCCGGAATATCCATTGGTTGTCACAGTTGTCAGTTTCTCTCTGCCCCTGGCTCCTTAAGACGCATCCATTGGCTGAAAAAGGAGAATCCCGCCTACGATTAGCCCGCCCACTAGCGGTCATTATTTCCTCTGTTTCTCTGGAAGACCTCGGATCGTCAAGGCTTTCCAATGATTATGCCTACTGTCGATCACCGCCCATATATGACATCACATCTGTCAATTTTGACCCTGCCATCCCTTTCTCATTGGCTCACCTGGCTCCTTTTCTCCCTTCCTAATAGCTTGAAAATTCTGGCACCCACCTTTTCCCTCTCAAACTCCACCCCTTCCTTTATCCTTCCGCGGTCAAACGCTGGCTAACTTTTTTTATTGGCCAACAGTTGCCAACACCCTTTTTCCTAATTGGCTACTTTCTTCAACCCACCTTCTTCCGCCTTGCTTCCCATTTTGGTTGGCTCCCAGGACATTTTCCTCACAGCACGCCCCACCCCTGCTTCCTCTTCCCCGCGATCCCACCTACTTTTCCCTGATTGGTAGGAATACCATTCTTTGTCTCCAAGTGAATGGCTAGGATCCCCTTGAAGGCGGGCTAGGGAAGGCGAGGTGGGCGGGATTACACTTCACGCAGGCGCCAGTTGTTTGACTGGAGTGGGGGGGGAGCGCTCCGCCCAGCTAACGATGTTGTGCGCAGGCGTGAAGACGGCCACCAGCCTAAAAGGGGGAGAGAGTTAGCGCGCGAGCAAGGGTGAGAGGGCGCGAGCCGGACGCCGCGAGGTGCCCGCCCTGTGCAGCCCCCTCCCCCCCTCCCCTCCCCTCCTCCCCCTCCCTCTCACTCCTGCTCGGGCGCCCGCCATCTGGCTAGGCCGCGCCCTTCACCCTCTGCCCCCTCCCTCCCTCCCTCCCTGTTTCCCTCCCGGTGGGTGGGGTGGCTCCTCCCCCAGGCCCAGCCTCCGGGGAGGGGGATGTGAGGAGCACCTCAGAGCGGGGCCGTCGCCATGGAGACCGGCCCGGCGCCCTTGGTGGCCCCCCCACGCCGCCATGGCGCCTCAGTGGCCCCCTCCCCACCACCTCGGGGCTCCCGGGCTGGGCCTGTGCTGGTGGTGGCCCCGGGGCCTCCAGTGACCACGGCCACCTCCTCCCCGGTAACTCTGGTGGCCCCCGGCGAGGCCCGCCCGGCCTGGGTGTCCGGTGGCCCCAGGCCCCCACCTGGCATCCCCGGGAGCCGGCCGCCTCCGCCTGCCTCTGCAGGGTTGCCGGGACCGGCTGGGAGCACCGGGACCAGTGGCAGCACGGTAGTGGTGCTGACTCTGGAAGCTGTGGCTGCAGCCCCTGGCCAGGATCCTGACCCCAACCCCACCAGGGAGGTGAGGGCGGACAGCTCCAGCACCACAGGAATCCCAAGGACAGAGCCTGGGCCCGGATCAACCTCCGAACCTTGTGGCAGGCCAGTGGCACCAGGAATGGTGGCGGCAGGAGGAACAGCCTTGCCCATTGGTGCTGTGACCCCCAAGATGGGGACAGACTCCTCTCTAGCCAGACCAGAGGCAGCAACAGCAACCTCAGCACACTCCAAGACAGCCCCTGTAGGTAACTCCCTGGTCACCACCTCGATGGGACTGACAACATCAGAAGTGGTAGCAGCACCGAGACTGGAGCTGGCGACTGGATTAGCTGACTTGGCCCTCTCAGGAGCACCTGTGTCTGTGACAGAAGAGAGTACAACTCTTGTGCCTGTTGTAACAACTTCTGGTGCAATGACAGCCAAACCGCCTGTTGCACTCAAACCAGGAATGGTGGTAGCTTCAGGAACAACTGGACCAGATACCGTTGTAACAGCAGGACTGACAACAGATGGGCTAGCTGCTGCAGAGACAGTGGCAACAGGTGAAACAGTTGTAGCAGTGGCAGTGGCAGGCCCAGCCATTGCAATGCCATCAGAGACACAAACAGAGTCTCCTGCAGTCTCTGAGACTCCAGTGGCCACAGTAACTGTGACCCCAGCCCCTGAGCCAACTGAAGGTTCCCAGGACTTGGGTTCCATGTCTAGCTTAGGTCCTGGAATTCAAGGACCTCGTGGACAGGCCCCAGACAGCCTGAGCTACCTAGACTCTGTGAGCCTCATGTCAGGTACCTTAGAGTCCTTGGCAGATGATGTGAGCTCCATGGGCTCAGACTCTGAAATCAACGGGCTTGCTCTTCGAAAGACAGACAAGTATGGATTCCTGGGGGGCAGCCAGTACTCTGGAAGCCTGTGAGTACTGGGGACCCCGTGGGACCACTCCTGGTATGGGGAGAAAGGGTCCTTCAGAAGAGGTGACATTTATAAATCCTGTCAGTTCCATAGTTCCTCCAACTTGGGATTCAGTCTTAGTATTGAGGGTTGCTTTGAATTAAACTTAAAGAGGAAATTTAGTTCAATTATACTGACCATTAGTAGCCTGTTGTGAAGCATGATGTGGTAGAAAGAACACTGAACCTCAGAATTGGATTGAGTTCGAGTTCTAGTTTCATTTCTGCACCTAACTTGTAGTGTTGACCTTGGACAAGTCATTAAATAGTCCCTGGGTTTATCTCATCTGTAAAAAGAGGGGGTCAGACTAGATCTCTAAGGCCCTTTCCAGTTCTGTCAGTCTATGATTCTCTGATGTTAAAACCTGACTATTGGTAGGGGACCAGGTCTTCTTGGCTTAAAGGTTAAAATAGCAGTCAGTTAGGAATAGTATTTAGAAATGTAGTTGGATTACAGGCTGTGATGGAAGTCCATAGCCTTATTCAGACAAGGAAACCACAATGCCTCAGTATAATGTAGGTAGTAACAAGGGATTCTGGACTTTAACCTGGAGGGTGGGGCCAGGTTATATGGAGCCAATTCCATGTTCTTTACTTCTCTCCTGCCCTGATGTGGAAGGTCACAAAAAAATATAAAGGGGTGGAGTATAATTTAGGGGGAGGTGAACATTGAATGAAACTTTTCTGAGTGAGGGAGCAGGGACTTCTAGGTCTTCACAGGGGAAAGGGATAGGAGTGCCTCTTCTCCATTTCCTCATCTCCCCAGCCCCTGCCCTCTTTCCTAGTTCCCTTGCCTCCTATGGCCTGAGTCACTCCCTCCCAAGGTGTGGGGTGTGACTGCTGTGACTCCTTCCTTCCCCATCTCTGGATCCTGGTCATCCTTGTTCGCCTTCCTACCTCATAATGGAATGATCCCTGATGCCTTCATTCCCTTGGGCTAGGTCATCATGGATATAATGGTTCAACACCTAAAGATTAGGGTTTAAAAAAGGGAAGTTGTGGAATCTGAGGAGATTTGAAAGGGAGAAGTTTGAGGGTTTACTGAAGAGAGGATGGAGAAACTTATGGTTGGGGTGACATCAGTTGGACTCCTTTTCCTTTCTCCCCCAGGGAAAGCTCTGTCCCTGTTGATGTGGCCCGTCAGCGGGAACTAAAGTGGCTGGACATGTTCAGTAACTGGGATAAGTGGTTATCTCGTCGATTTCAGAAGGTACATGAGATGGGGAGAGCAAGGTTGAAGTTTGATACACCTTTCACCTGTGAGGGCCTGCAGCCTTCTATTCCTTCCCTTTTCTCTGCCCTTCAACCTTTCCAGTAATAAGGAGGGTGGGAGAAAGCAAAAAGCATCTTCGAAGTCTTTGGGGTAAAATTATGCACAGGAATAGGATCAACCTGGCATACTGGATAGTATGTATGTTATGTGTTGGAGGCATGAAAATGGCATGTGTTAAGTATGTAAAGATAAGGCACAAGTGCCTTTATTTTGTCTTGACATTGGGATAACCCTAGGGCCAGCCTTGCCTAGGAGCTGGAAGCTAGGTTTTAGGATGAGCCCTGAGGGGATGATTGTCTCTTCCAATAGATGCTGGAACATCAGGGCTGATCAAGGCTGAGTAAAAAGTCTATCCTGACTTATGTCATCTTTCCCACTCATGTCTCCTTTCTGCTAGGTGAAGTTGCGATGCCGGAAGGGCATCCCCTCGTCCCTTAGAGCCAAAGCCTGGCAGTTCCTGTCCAACAGCAAGGAACTCCTAGATCAGAACCCTGGTAAATTTGAGGTATGGATGGCAGCCGGTTGTCAGGAGAATATTTATATTGGAATGCTAGTTCTTCCTTGTCTTCTGGTCAAGCTAAGGCTCTCCTTTGTGGGTTAGGAGAAGGGTCTAGAGAGCTTTCCCTCGAATGTGGGGTGGAGGAGGATTGTTACAGAGAGATATAACTTCTCCATTTTATCGAAGGAGCTGGAACGGGCCCCTGGAGACCCTAAGTGGCTGGATGTGATTGAGAAGGACTTGCATCGACAATTCCCCTTTCATGAGATGTTTGCTGCCCGAGGGGGTCATGGGTAAGATATAGGGGTGGGTGACAGTGTACAATCAAAAAAGATCTTGGGCAGAGTTTCAGCAAAAAATTTGATACAGTTTAAGTGTCCTTGTTCACTGTTATGCAGAACATAAAGATGGAAATATGGTTGGTTTCTGCATATAGTGTAGTAACGGGGAAAAGACAAATAAATAACTAAAATAAAGAGTAGGGTATAATTAAATGCCATTAAAAAGGTACAGACTAACTTCTGGCTAGAAAATTAGGAAAAGAATCTTGGAAGAGCATTTGAATTGGGCTCCAAACAATAGGCAGTTCTGATTGGTGGAGAAGGGGGAGGGCTTTCCCAGGAGTAGGAATAGAGTAAGCAAAAGAGCAGAAAGGGAAAAATTGCATGTTTTGATATACTGTAAGTAGTTTAGTTTGTGTTTGAAGTATCTGAAGAGGGGAAAAGATATAAAACTGGAAAGGTAGGTTAGGACTTGAGAACCAAGCAGAGGAATTTGCACTTTTATTTTGTGGACAGCGAGAAGTCATTGAAGGTTTTTGAGTAAGTAGGTGAGGATGACACAATCATAGCTATGTGTTAGGAAGATTAATCTGGTAGCTGTGGATGTGCAGCACAGATTGGAGCTGAGAAGAGGAGGCTAAAGTGGCATGTGCCACAGTTTCTTAGGATAGGTTTGGGGCAGTCTGAACAGATGTCCTTAAGAACCATTGGATCCCAGTTACTATGGTAACCTTCTCTCTCCCTTGCCTGCAGGCAGCAAGACCTGTATCGAATCTTGAAGGCCTACACCATCTATCGGCCTGATGAGGGTTACTGCCAAGCCCAGGCCCCAGTGGCAGCTGTGCTGCTCATGCATATGCCTGCTGAGGTCAGAGGGCAGGAATAAGGGATGTAGGATTGGACAGTGGGAGGAACTGGAGTCTCTGGCAATACCTTGCATGTGTTCAGAGAGCTGACTGGACTGCTCCCGAAGCCCTTTGGGGTGGGAAGAGGGGGAGTGGCCGCAGGGCTGTCAGTGGAGCAGAGGTGGGGAGAAGTTTAACACCATGCCCTTCATTCCTTACACATCCACTCTTCTTTTTCTCTCCAGCAAGCTTTCTGGTGCTTGGTACAGATATGTGACAAGTACCTTCCTGGCTACTACAGTGCTGGGCTGGTGAGTAACACTTTGGCTTCAGAAAGGGCTGTAGAACCAAGGCAGGATGGAAGGGAAGTTAGAGGATCTTTTCCCTTCAGCTTGTGAATATGGTATCTCTTCATCTCTCTGCTCACTGTTCAGGAGGCCATCCAGCTGGATGGGGAGATCTTCTTTGCCCTTCTGCGGCGGGCTTCCCCTTTAGCTCATCGACACCTTCGGCGTCAGCGCATTGACCCTGTACTCTACATGACTGAGTGGTTCATGTGCATCTTTGCTCGCACTCTGCCTTGGGCCTCAGTTCTCCGGGTCTGGGATATGTTCTTCTGTGAAGGTACCAGTGCTAAGGGGACACTTCTAGCCCTGTGGTTCTGACCCAAGCTTCCTCTCTAGGACTTCTGTCTTCAGATTATTCTTTTGCTTATTATTCTTCCATCTGCTCCTATCTGAGGGCAAAACAGAGGAGCCAGCTATTTACTATCTCATGCACTGTCTTCACTGACTCCCTTTATCAGGCTGGTTTCAAGAGAGTTTTCTACTCTCAATCACAGTATACCGGCTCTAAAAGAGAGTGAGAGTAAACCTTGGGAGTGGGATGCAACCTGCATATTGAATAGATTTGTTAGTTTCCTCTTCCTGTTAGTTGGCTAATATTAATACCCCTTCTTCATAATCCTGATCACTTCACAGATGCCCCTGACCCAGCTACCACTGAGAGAACTACACACTGTCCTTGGGTTGCCAATACATACTTAAGCTGAACAGCTGCCCTCAGAATGAAGTGGTTTCTGTAGCAATTGCTAGAGAACGCCATCATCTTTCTGATGACCCAGGGCACAAATCCTCAAGCAAAATTCATTCTTATTTGGTGAAAGTGGGAAAGGGAGGGGAGTCATTTAGGTCTTTAAAAAAAGTAAGAGCTTTGGAATCAGCTAGGTCTTCAGCAGCCTCCTCTACTCTCTAGTGACCTCTCACAACTAATCTTCTCTCAGGAGTCAAGATCATCTTCAGGGTGGCTCTGGTGCTTCTGCGGCATACCCTGGGATCTGTAGAGAAGCTTCGGTCCTGCCAGGGAATGTATGAGACCATGGAGCAGCTGAGGAACTTACCTCAACAGTGCATGCAGGAAGAGTTCCTCGTGCACGAGGTGGGTGTCTCCTGCCCTGTCTTACCCAGCATCTCTATATTTCCTGGAGCCAGCAGCCTCTTTCTGCTGTTCCTGAGATTCTTGTGCCTCATGCCCCACTCTTCTCATTTCAGGTAACAAACCTCCCTGTGACAGAGGCTCTGATAGAGCGTGAAAATGCAGCCCAGCTAAAGAAGTGGAGAGAGACCCGGGGGGAGCTGCAGTACCGACCATCCAGGAGGCTCCATGGCTCAAGGGCTATCCACGAGGAGCGAAGGCGACAGCAACCCCCGCTGGGCCCGTCATCTAGCCTCCTCAGCCTTCCAGGCCTCAAAAGTCGTTCCTCCAGGGGTGGAGCTTCTTCGTCCCCACCACCTCCTGTTCGAAGAGCCAGTGCTGGCCCTGCCCCAGGCCCTGTGGTCACAGCCGAAGGGCTCCATCCTTCCCTGCCCTCGCCAACTGGAAACAGCACACCTCTGGGACAGGTAAAGGAGACCAAGCGTCAAGAGAAGGAGCGGCAGAAGCAGGAGAAGGAGCTTCAGAAGCAGGAGAAGGAGAGGCAGAAGCAGGAGAAGGAGAGACAGAAACAGGAAAAGGAACGGGAAAAGGAGAGGCAGAAACAAGAGAAGAAGGCCCAGGGACGGAAGATGTCCCTTCGACGGAAGGCTGACGGTTCTCCACCCCAACAAGATGGAGGGGATGGGAACTCAGCAGCTGGAGCACGACAGGATGCTTATTTCTAACCTTCTATCCCTTCCATGCTGGGGCTGGGAAGGGCACTGGCTTCCCTTCACCGTGATGAACTTCATTGCCTGCCCACTGCTCTCCCTTGGCCTCCCAGACCCAGGGCACCAGCCATAGATCTCCTTTCATTCTACGTGGTCAGTGATGTTCTCTCCTAGAGAAGGCTGTGTTTCTCCCTGTCTTGGTATAAGCAGCCATATCTCAACAGGAGCAGAAGGAGCTAGTGCTGTTTCACCAGAACCCTTGGTGGGCCTTGTTCCACCATCTGGAGCTGGCCCAGTATTTTCCTCAGCTGTTGCTGGACCCTGTCCCCAAGCCAGCCCCATCTAATGCGCTTGAAACCCCAAATTAAGCAGCATTTCATGGGACAATGTGGAGTGAGCCCTGAAGCCTCCTTTCCTAGTCTACTCAGTGTTCTTCCTTTCCTGACTCCATTAAGTTTCTCCTTTACCTTACTAAGTTGTTCTTTCCAAGGAACAACTGATTTCTCCTTTCCCTCTCTTGCTGCTCTAACCTCTTCACACCTTCTTCCAGCATGAGTGGACTTTTGAAGATGGGCCTTGACTGTTCCTTAATTTTCACTCTTGGTGGCTCAGCGTCCCAATTCCACAAGGAGAAAGCTGGGTGAGCCTCTCCTCTTCCCTCAAGCCTTAACCATCTCCCTACATCTCCCCTCTGTGCCAGACTGGGAGGCAGAGGGGCCTCTCTCTATATTTTATATATATATATATATATATATATGCACATATATATATAATATATATATATCTGATGTCTCTGCATTGTAATTATGTACACAGGACCCTGGGGGGGGGTTTCAATCTCTACCTTCCCCTCTTGCTCTGTTCACTGGTTTATTTAAGGGGAGTTGACCTGCAGCAGTAAGGGTTTCTCAGCTAGACTGCTTGCCTTTCAGTCCCATTTCTAGCTGCTTTTCTTCATATACTCTTTCCACCACATCTCCCAGTTTCACACATCCATCTCATCCTTCTTGGGCCCTTTCTAATTTTTTCCATGATTTCTTCCCTATTCTTTCCTGCCTTCTTTTGTTCCTTGAACCTCTTGCTTGGGTTGGGTATCCTCTCTGTTCTCTAAGGGGGTGGGGGGGCCCTCATGTTTACATTCTCTTTCTGCCCCCTCACTTCCCCTAGTGCATTGCTTTCCCCTCCCCCAACTGAACAGAGCTTTGTGGAACCAGGAAAGAACAAATCTACTGTCCTGCCCTCTACTTGACTCTTGCCTGGTTATTTTTTTTTAAGAGGTTGGGGCACAGGGATGGAATGGATAGGTGTACAAAAGGCGCTGACCAGATTAGCTTAGCTTTGGGACTTTTATTGAAGTTTGCTTCCAGGTGTGAACCTATTTTATTTTAGTTGTCCCAAGACTTAAGTGTCAATCCCAGATGTCCCTTAAAGTGCTCTAGACCTGCTACATTCTTCCTCTCTCAAGCCCAGGATTCTGGTTCCTCCCTCACCCAAACTCCATGAGGTCCACTTGCCTCCTGGTGGCCCTGGACCTGGCAAGTGCCTGGATCTCTTCCCCAAAGCGCTGGTGCAACTCCTGGAAGCCAGAGGGGGCTGGAGAGCAGGGGAGGCCCAGAAACCCGTCTTCCTGCGGTGGGGCCTGGGGTTCCACTCCGGCTTCTCGGCACGCTCTTTGATACTGCTCCTGTAAGGGCTGCAGGAGCTCCCACAGCTGGCTCCATCCAGCCCAACCGAGGGCTTGAAGCCAGCCGTCGAAATCAACCTTTTTCTCTGCTGCCAGTTTGTAGCACCGGCCACCTTGCTCAGAGGCAAGGATGACGAAGGCATAGGGCTCGGTGGTACTGTCTCGGGGCTCCACCCGGCAGGTGTCCAACAAGATAAAGCCCAGGGGAGTTCGATCTCCTTGGTGCTCCAGGTAGTAGAGGAGATTTCCACGGAGGATGAACCAGCGCCGTTGGTAGCTGGGATTTCGGGTCCCTTTCTTCAATAAGATTCCCTCCCGGTCTGGGGCCCGGGCTCCTGTTCCCCGAAAGTAGCTGAGCACAGGCTTCCGGTGCAGTTTCATGATAGCTAAACCTGAGAAGGGACCATAGGTTCAAGGAAAGCGTGGGGAAAAATTGTGGGGTTGGTGGAGCAGGGGCAAGGCTTGAGGCCGTACAGATTGAGCACCTTTCGCGTGCAGTACTCCGCACTGGAGCCTCTGGGAAGAAGGCTGACCCTGCCTTCATGGAAATTCTGTCCTAACACAAGACAGATTTGTTTTGACATTACATAACTCCCACCAGGGCCCTGAGCTGTTTTTGTTACCCCCAGTGCTTGAGGTGCGAGTGAGCAAGGTGGTCAGCGAAAACCTGAGCCACGGCGGGGGCACTTCGGTGGGATGCAACGGATTGAGCCCTGGGCAACTGGGGCTCCAGCCTCACGGGACGCAGCTGCAGAGGAAGCTGGTGCTGGGGGACCCTGGCTCCACTCTGGGCCTACCTGAGAGCAGGGGGCGGGAGGGCCCCTCCAGGCTGGGACGGTGGGAACAGGTGCGGGGGCGGGGCGGTCGTTTCCCTATCTCTTGATGGCTCACACCCCACCCCAGGAACCAGGAAATCCTCCCAGGGATGGGCCCCAGGCCAGGCCGTAGAGCGAAAAGAAACTTCCTCCTGGGTCCTAGAGGGAGTTATGTTTTCAGGGAAGACCCGAGGTGATCAGAGAATGAACGAGGATTCCCCAGGTTTCCCTTAAAGAGAGACGAAATTGAAATCTGTGATACTGCCCTCAGAGTGAAGCTGGGAGGCGGAGAAAGATGGAGGGGAGAGAAGATGGTTTTCTTATGGAAGAACGGAACCCTGAGACCTTTGTATTCTGGTTCAGGCTTAGGCAAGGGCAATCAGAGATACACCTTTCTCCCTGTTCTGCCCTTCCTTTGTGCCCTGTCCCATTCTTTTTTTGTGTCCCCTCGAGGCACATACTATTTCCGCCCTCAACCCTTCATAAGCCCAATACTGCCAGGGGGGATAGGAGCTACTTCCGATCAGTTTGTCGTAACTTCCGTCCTCACCACCATTCCCTTCGCCCACGGAGAGTGATGTCATCCCCGTGGTTAAAAGTTTCTTATTTCCGCCCTCTTTCGCAACAAAGTCTTTCAAAGCCAGTGAAGCCACTTTCGGGCAGTTTCTCCGCCTTCCGGGGAATCTCTTCCGGTTGACTCCTGAGCAGTGCCCTGGATGTAGCCCCGGCGATAGTGTTCCTTTTCCCCCCGCCCGCTCCTCCCTCTCGCCTCCTCTCCCCTCCCCGGAGCCCCAGGTGAGGGCGCGCACGCCGAGTGAGCTCCGGATCCCGCGGGGTTCCATCGACTCCCTGCTCATTTACATAATAAGAGGAGGAAGGAGGGGCGGGGGCGCTTGTAAGGGATGGACCAGGAGTTGAGGCTGGTTTAGGGTAGGGGTGTATTGAGGGCTGAGTCTCCCTACAATGGGCCCCGAGCCCTGGAAGGGCCCTCGGGATTGGGAGTGGGGTGGCAGGGTCGCGAGTGTGCTCGACCACGAGGAATTCCCGGTCTGGGACCGCCGCCCCCTGTCACCCCAAGTGTAAGGGGGCTTGGGAATAGAAGACATCTATCCTCTGGGAAAAGATGCAGGCCTCAGATATTAACGGGGGCCCTCTGAGCTTTGTTGCCTGACAGCCAGTAGGCATTTTTTCTTCTCCCTCACCACCTTTTCCCAAGTCAAAGTCCTGCCCCTTTCCCCCGACCCGGTCAAGGGTAATGGGAGCTTCCAGTAGACTCAGATACAAGGTCTTCCCTCCCTTTCCTTGTTGATCATAGAGATTGAAACACCCCAGGTCCGAGGACATAGTGTACTCTCCCCCTAGGAAGTGAATTCTGAACCCCCGAGCCCAATTAAGTACATCACCCTGTTTTAGGGCTTCCTGACCCTGGGGCTGCTTTTTGCTCAGCTTCTGGGAAGGACCGATCTTATCTTGCAAGTCCCACCATGCCCAAGCGGAGAGTCACCTTCCAGGATGTGGGAATTGAAGAGGATGGAGAGGATCTCCCCAAAAAGAAGGTGAGGGGGTCAGGGTGCCAGAGTTTCCAGGATATGGACTGGAGAGGATCTCCCTAAAAAGAAAGTGGGGGTCAGGATGCTTGGGTTTCCAGGATGTGGAATGGAGAAGATCTCCCCAAAAAGAAGGTGGGGGTCAGGATGCTTAGGTTTCCAGGATGTGGAATGGAGTAGATCTCCCCAAAATGGTGGGGCAGGGTCAGAATGACTGAGTTCCCAGGTGAGCGGGGTTGGAAGGGACTGAACAATGCTGGACCTCAAAGCATTTGGGTCTACTGCATCTAACCCTGTTTCTGCCTGTAGCTGGTGGATCCTGTGACAGGAGCAGGGGGCCCTGGGAGCCGGTTCAAAGGCAAACATTCTTTGGACAGTGATGAAGAAGATGATGATGAAGATGGTTCTAGCAAGTATGTCATCCTAGCTTCAGAAGATGTGGAAGGTGAGGCCATGGGGCCTAAGAGGCCTATACACTTCTCCCCACATTCTCCTCAGCCTCAGGCTTGATTCTTCAAAGTTGAAGGCAGATTCTTCCCAGAGGATATTTTCAATAAACGTTTATTACGTACTGATCTTGCCTAGTGTTGTGCCAAGATATGGTGGGGGAAGGCAGGGGCAGAAGATACTAAGTTTAGGTAAGACACAGCCTCAACTTTCAGAAAGTTCACAGTCCAATATTATGGTAAGAGGTACCTATAGTCCATGATATTAATATGTGCATTAAAGAAATGCAAAATGATGGTATGTGAGGCTCAAGGGGGAAGGCCATTACAGATAGAGTATCATGGAAAGTTTCATGGAGAAAACATTGTTTGAGTTGAACTTTAAAGGATGGCTAGGAATGCAATAGGCCAAGAGGGAAGTATAGAATGCCTGAGTAAAAGCTCAGAGAACAGAGTAGATTGGCTGAAGCATAGATTTCGTGGAAACAGGTAACATAAGCTAAGTCAGAGAAGATAGGGTAATGCCAGATTGGAGAACCCTGAATGATGCTAAGCAAAGGAATTTGGCCTTTGCTCAGTAGTCAGTCAGAAGAAAATAAAGTTTTTTGAGCAAAGAAGTGACAAGGCAATAGGATTTAGGTGTTGCTTCCCCTTTTCTTGCACGATTCTGGGTATCCATTCATCCAGGTCAGGAGGCGGCCACACTCCCAAGTGAGGGTGGTGTTCGTATCACACCCTTCAACCTGCAGGAGGAGATGGAAGAGGGCCACTTTGATTCAGATGGCAACTATTTTCTGCACCGGGACGCCCAGATTCGGGACAGCTGGCTGGACAACATTGACTGGGTTAGGGCCTCTAGGCTGGGAGACTTGGGTCCTGAATAGGCAGTGATATACTTCATTTGTGAAATGGGTTACAGACCAGGACTGAGAGGTGGGGGTGCTTGGATTGGGGGCAGGGACTAGGGAGCAGTATATCTGGATCCTAGGAGGGAAAAGGCCAAAACGTTTAAGAAAATAACCTGTCCTGTCTTATCTCAGGTGAAGATCCGGGAGCGCCCTCCAGGCCAGCCCCCTGCCTCAGATTCAGAGGATGACAGCCCTGGCCAGACTCCACTGGGCCCTCAGGCACTCCTAGAGGGTCTCTTGGAGATGCTGTTGCCAGGGGAGACAGTTGCTGGGGCACTGAGACGTCTGGGTGCCCGGAAGGGTGGTGAAGGACCCCAGCGACCAAATTCCCCACAACGATTAGACCGGCTCTCAGGATTGGCTGACCAGATGGTTGCCCGGGGCAACCATGGAGTGTACCAGGAGACCAGGGAACGGCTTGCTGTAAGACTGAAAGCACTGGGGGGCCGCACACCAGGGCTGCCTGACACAGCACCTCGTCCTGTCCTGGACATGTTTGCTGAAGAGGTTGGGGAGGGGGAGCTGGAGACCCCAACCCCAGCCCAAGGAGGAGGTGAGGGTTGGAGGCTTGGGACTATAGATTCCCTTTAGGGACACGGAAACTTGGAAGGATATAGATCCTGAAAAGATAGCAGAAGGAAACTGGGAACCCATTTGGAGAGAATGTGGGGAGCAGGTCGGGGTGTGAGGGGCAGAGCTGAGTGGGGCAAGTCTGGGATCTGTGGATGGATATGTATATATTTGAGTATATATGGAGAGATTAAGTGTGATGGGATAACAAGGGGAGACAGGCAGGTTATGTGCAGGAGGATAACAGATGGGGTGGAGTGACTTTAGGCTCGGAGGGAACAGTCAGCGTACCTGAGAAGGCCTTTTTTGGTTGTCTTTCTAGACACAGCTGCCGTGGGAGATGGCTTGGCTGATGTGATGTGGGAATATAAATGGGAAAACACAAGTGATGCAGAACTCTATGGGCCCTTCACCAGTGCCCAGATGCAAGTAAGGATTCTCTCTCTCCCTAAACCCTGCCTAGGTATATTACCACCAATACCCCCACACACCTCTCTTCTTTCCTTTTACCCCTAGGCCTGGGCGGATGAAGGCTATTTCCCAGATGGTGTTTATTGCCGGAAGGTGGATCCCCCTGAAGGCCAGTTCTACAACTCCAAACGTATAGATTTCGGTCTCTATTTCTGAACCTGTTTTTATTTTTTGGGTAGCGGAAGAGAGCTACGGCAAGCACTTCCAGGCTGTGCTTTCAGGAAGAGGCCCTGGGGCTTGTATGGACCTTAGTTGGGGTGGGGGGGAAATGGTACCAGTCTTGGGGGGGCGCCATTTCCTGTCTCAATAAAAATCTCTAGTTGTGTAAAAGGGGTGTCTAGTGTGGAGAGGGCATAGTTGCACAAAGAGCCTGAGTTTGCTTTGTCCACCCTAGAGAGGTGCTGCTGCCTCAGGCTGGTCAGCATGGGCCTCTGTTCCTAAACGGCAGTTTCCTGGTCCATGCTGGGCCTCCCCTCTCCTCCTCTTCCCTTCTCCACACTTCTCTACTCCCCTAGATCAGGCCTCCCGTGAAGTGGATAGAATGATTCTTGCTAGGGCTGGCCCTCCAGAAAGATACCTGCCTCCCAGGAGTTCTATTCTGACTTTGCTCCTGACCAGTGTGTGACCATGAGCTTGTGTATATATGACTTCCTCCTCTCTGGACCTGTGTCCACATCTGTGAACCTGGATCTAGTACCATGTTGAAGGATCCCATGAGGGAGGCCTGAGCTTGAGTCAGGATACCTGGGTTTGAATCTCAAACTGCCTGGCTATAGACCTGCCTAATTCTAGTTTCTTCCCTGAGCCTCATTCTCCTTATCATAAAATGGGGATAATCATACTACCTACCTCACAGGGTTGTTGTGGGGAATGCACTTTGTAAACCTTAAAGTGCTTAAGAAATATGACTTACTGTAACACTTTAAGATGCTTTGTCAAGGGAATTGGTTCGGTTTTTTTTTTTTTTCCATTCTTCTTACCTTAATTTGGGTCAGATATGGAAGACTAGGACAGGTGGAGGGCGAGGGTGGGGAGGAAAGAACCCTAGAAGGTTGAATGTTAGATTTGAAAGTGTCCTCATTGACCTAAACCAGGCCAATTCCCTCCTTCTATAGATCAGAGAAAAGGGCCCAGAACAGAGAAGGAATGTCAGTTTCCTTCATTCTCCTCTTCCCTTGGCCAGAAAATGGTGAAATAATGCCCAGGTCCTCTTTTGGGCCCAGGGGCCTCTTGCTTTCTGGAGATGTCGGGGTGCAAGCTTCTGCCTCCCTCCTCCTTTCACCTCCAGCTGTGATGAGGCCTCAGTTCCTTCCAGGGTCAGCTAGCCCACCAAGTGGTGATCGGTTATGCAATCGTTAAGTGAAGAAGTCTTTGCCTTTAAAAGAACTTACATTCTTCTGGGGGATACACCATCACACAAATAAATACAATGTCTATACAGTGTAATTGGGGAGGATCAGCAAAGTCCTTGTAGTTGGCACCTGAGCTCAACCTTAAAGAGAATTCTGGATTCCAGGAGTTAGAGGCGAGGACTGAGGATGTCCCAGGTGTGGAAGTATGAATTTGTGTTTGGGGAATGGCAAGTAGGCATAGTGAGTAAGGGAAATTAAAGCCAAATAAGTATGGAAAGTTAGTTTGGGGCCATATTGTGAAGGGCTTTAAATGCCTGATTGAGGAGTTTGTGTTATATCTATGGTTTGTCCTTTGTTTTCAAAGAGGACCATGATATTAGGGAGATGATGACATGATTTGCAATTGAATTTTATTTGAGTGAGAGGAATGTGCAAAGTCACCAGCCTCACTTTCTCCTCCAGAGCCATCTGGGTCCAGGGGCCAGATAGCAATCAGAACTAAAGCAGGAGAGAACCACTGTAACATTGAGAACAGAGGAATAAAGAACATGACCTGAGCTGTGCTTTAGGAAGATTAATTTGGTAGCTATATAGGGGATGAATTGGTGAGGGGAGAAACCAGAAGTAGGGACCATTTGGGAGGCTATTTCCGTATAGGTGAAAGGGGATGAAATATGAATTGATGTGGAAAACTGATAAGACAGAGCAGTTGATTGGATATTGGGAGAGAGGGAGAGGAAGAGGTGGTATATGATGATTCCAAGGTGGGAAGGTTGGATACTACCATTACCACAACCCTGTAGTTGCCCTTCAAAAAAAAAAAAAATCCCAGACCAACCCAGTCCCTATGCCTGAAATTTCACCATTGGCAATAGGTTATGTTAACCATTCCACAGGACCTCTTTGCAATATTTCCCCCTACTCCCATATATAAAATTGTTATAAGTTTCTATACCTCAGGACCCCTGGTTCAGACTTCATATTTAAGCACAGTGTTCTTATGGGAAAAAAATCAAGAGGGGTGGGGAAAGATAATGTTGGGGTTGAGGACATTGACAAGGTTGGGCAAGCCAGCTAGGGTGTATGAGGCTGTAAAAGACCTGTCTAACCGTAGCTTCCCACTGGTCCTCGAATCGTGCCTTCAGCTCCAGGGTTTTTGCAATTTATTGTAGCTATCTTTTCCTTGTCACTGAACCCCCAGTTAACCAACAAACGCGGTAGGCGTTGGAAATACAAAGATAAAAAATTAGCCTATCTTTGCCTTCAGGAAACTTTCTTTTAAAAAAAGTTTTTATTGATGTCTTTGGTTTTCTGTGTCACCGTAATAACACAGTATCATTCCCCTTGTCAGAAAGCTATGTCATGTAACAAATATTTTTTAAAGACAAAAAAAGGTAAGGAGGAATCAGCATAACTGATCAATACGTAGCAGAAAATGTGTGCATTGCACACTTCTGGAACTCCTACTTTTGCAAAGGGGGAGGGAGGTGTCTTCTGTTTCTTCTTTTGAGTCAGGCTTGCTCTTTGTAACTTTGCAGTACATGCTTCTTTGTGTGGCTCTTCTTTCCACTCAGAGTCACTGTGTATACTGTTTTCTTGGCTCTGTTCACTTCAGTCTGCATCAGTTCATGTAGATCTTTGCATGCTATCACATTTACCATTTCTTATGGCACAGTAATACTCCGTTACATTCACATACCACAATTTGTTTAACCATTCATCAATCAATAGGCATCTACTTTGTTCCCAATTTGCTCTCACAAAAAGTGCTGCTGTGAGTATTTAACTCAGTTGACTTCTTCAGATATAAGTCTAAAAATAGAATCTCTGGGTTAAAGGGTATGGATATTTTAGTCACTATTTGCATAATTTCAAAATGCTTTTCAAAAATGGTAGTATTGAGTCACACACACAGCAGGGAAGCTTGCTTTCTAGGTAAACTCTTTAGAGCCTGAGTATCCTGTCCCTTCACAAATTCCGAACTGGCTTGGGCCCTGGGTTCAAAGATCTTTCACTGGAACTGGATGTCTTGGCCTAGTTTCTGCTCTTCCCTTCTCCCTTCACCCCATTCTCCAATCCTGCCCTTGCGCTCTTATCTCACAAAGGGGAAATTTTCAAGGATGTACTATTTACAAGGAGAAAGAACAGAAGTTCAGAAATAATCCACCAGAGCAAGGTCATTAGATGTCATTAGAAAAGATCTGCCCAATCTCAGACTGGGTACTTATAAGGTATGTATATCTATCTAGCTTGTGCTTTCTTGGCCTTGGGCCCCTAGGAGAGTCGTTTTTTATCTCAGCAGATCCCCCTTTAGGCTCTTGGGATTGAATCTATTGGTTCACTCTAAAAATTCCCCACTCCTCCTCAGCCAATCAGGAAGCCTCCTTAATGGACAGCCACATTCTTACCTAATCAACAGCTAACACTTCTTTGCTAGGAGACCCAGCCGTCAATTCATGAACACAATATGCCTTTCCCACAAGCCAGTCTTTGATACTGCATCTCTAAGTGAATTCTGTTTTCTACAGTACTTCCTAACCTTTTTATCATAAGAAAATGGTTATAGAGACCTGTTTCTGACATCCAACATTTCTGGGATATGCTCCAACCCCCATACCCATTCAGGTGATTGTACCTGCACCATTAATACCTCTTGTTTGAGAGTGTACATAATGACAAAAGGCTACTTTAAATTCAGCCAAATTTTAAAATGAAATTGTATTTTATTACAAAAACCTCTGCATAGATTTGAAAAATAGTAACATTATAATATGTATTTAATCTACTGAAGGTCTTTTTGCTTGATTCAGTCAAAGGGCCACTCTTGAGAACCTAGAGGCCCATATGTGGCCTCGAGGCCGCAGGTTCCCTACCCCTGGCTTAGTTTGTTATACTGAGTCATTTGATGTAATGAATCTCTTTACAGTAATCAGCCCTTCCCTTTCTCCCTTCCATTCCCAAAGATTCACATGTTAAGAACCAGTGTCCTACAGCATTTCCCAATTTACTTCTGACATAATTCGCTGTATGACCTTAGGTAAGTCCCTTCCCTCCTCTGGGTCCCACTGTACCCCTTATTAAAATGGGATGAGACCAGTGCTGACATTCCAAGGTTCAGGCACTGAGGGATGTTTTCTTTCTTTCTTTTTTTTTTTGGTGAGGCAGTTGGGGTTAAGTGACTTGCTCAGGGTCACACAGCTAGTAAGTGTTAAGTGTCTGAGGCTGTATTTGAACTCAGGTCCTCCTGACTCCAAGGCCAGGGCTCTATTGACTGCACCACCTAGCTGCCCCTGAGGGATGTTTTCTTCAGATGGTGTGCAGTATGTCTCATGTCTCCAGTCTGTGATCTCCCAATGTCAGGACCACAAGGACCACATCACATACTGGGTTCATTGGATTAGATTGAATGAAGTTTGCTCAGGTTCAACCACAAAAGGAAGCAGCCCTTCTAGTCTGGCCTGAATAGCTTGGAGGCTTTGGCTTCCCTCCTATTTATCCACAGCAGTTTTGGTTACTCAGTTCCATCCTATATGGAGATGGAGAAGTCATAAAACTGAAGGTTAGTAGTGATAATAGAACATACTGTAATAACATTTATATAGTTTTAAGATTTTACAAATTGGTTTCCCTGTGAGATAGGTAGTATAAGTAATATTGTCCCCCTTTTATAGGAAACTCAAGCTCAGAGAAGTCTAAGGTCACACAGTAAGTTAGGGGTAGAGTTGGGACAAGACCTTATGTCCCCCCTTCTCAACAACTGGGGCTTGGTTCTCTCAGCCTGCTCATTGCTAGTCTCGCAGCATCTGTTAGCAGCTGCACGCACAGGGTCATAGATTTATAGCCAGAAGTGACTTTTTGAGATCATCTAGCCCAATTCCGTTATTTTACAGATGAAGAAATTGAAGATTAAGTGACTTGTCTGGTGGCACACAAGTAGTAAGTGGCAAAATCAGGACTTGAACCCAGGACCTCTGAATCTAAATCCAGCTGACTAGAGTACCTGGTATTAGGGTTCAGCTTGTGTTCCTCTCTGAGGCTGCCCCTAGATTATTATTATTATTATTTTTTTTTTTGGTGAGGCAATGGGGATTAAGTGACTTGCCCAGAGTCACACAGCTAGTGAGTGTTATATGTCTGAGGCCAAATCTGAACTCAGGTCCTCCTGACTCCAGGGCCAGTGCTGTATCCACTGCACCACCTAGCTGTTTCCTGATTCTTCTTTCAAAGGGAAGCAGTTCCTGGTGGGGAAGAATTAACATGTCCCTTGTTTTCTGTAGGATCTGGAATCGGGCTGAGGAAAGCCCCTGGGGAGGATGTGGCTTATAAGCAGTGGAGCAAGGACCACAAACACAGGAAATAGCTCTCCCTGCCCCTCCTGTCTCTGTATCCCAGTCCCACCCAGGTGGGCCCAGCGCTCTCTCCCAGTGCAGATGGAGTTACTGAAACCCTCATCGCTCTGGTCCTTAGCAGAGGTCCAGTCAGCTCAGATCCAGACTAGCCTGGTACAGTGGAAGTGGTCCTGGCTTTGTCATTAAAGGACTTGGTTTAAGTCCTGTCTTTGACACTTGCTACATTGTGTCCTTGGGCAGGTCACTTAACCTCTTTGGGCCTCAGTGTCCTTGACTCTAAAATAAGGGGCTTAGACTGGAAGGTCTCTGAGGTCTCCTAGATTAATGATCCTGCCTCTTCCCAATAAGTCCTTCAGCTTTGAAATAGGCAATATTTATTCCAGTTCAGACCCCATTTCCCACCATGGAACCCAAGATTCCCCACCAGTTCAGACCTAGGCATACCAGTCTTTTAGCTGATCTCCAAACGTCCCCTCAACTTGGACCCAGGAATACCCACCTCCAGCTACATTGGCAGATGAGAAGTTAAACTGTGGCACACCCTTCCTTACACTTTCACCACCGAGATGCAGGTTAAGCATGCAGGATGTTTCGGGGGAGCGGCCCCAAGGGGGGTGGAGCTAGGGCCACTTACTTCCTCTCTAGGGGGGCCCCAAGCTAAGTCCTGCCTTAGTTTGAGAAGGGCTCTGAAATCAAGACGAACTACCAGGCTCCCCTCAGGATCTCTAACTATAGCTGTGAGAGTCTCCAACTGCAGGTAAAAATGAAGATGGTTGGGTTGAGGTCAGGGCTGTGACTGGAGCCAGGCCTGCCCTGGGCAAGGCTAAGGCTAGGAGCATCCTTCAAGATAAGGAGCAGGGAGCAGGGCAAATTGGAGCAGAGTTAGTGGAGAATCCTTACCCAAGAGGATAATAGGAGGGTTGGGGATTGGGGGTCAAGGGCTTCATTGGTCACTCGGTCTAAAAGTGGAGAAGGGGTTCCTAGGGAGAGCCAGATCTAGAGGCACTCAGTGAACGGGAGGGCATTCATGCTGGGCATCTCCACCCTGATTATTTCTGAGGCTGGAAAAAGCCGTTAAACCACAAGCCCAACCTGGCAGCTGATGGGGGTGTGGGCAGAATAGAGAAGATGATCTGGCCTCTGCAGATTGCTCTTTGTCTCTCTCCTCACAGGTCTTGACTCCCAGATACCCCTGAACCTTTCTGGGTCCTTGGGAGATCCTACCTGTTGTCATGGTGATGGTGCCCCCTCTGTCTCTGTTGCTCCTCCTCATCCTCACTGAGTGGGCCTCAACAGACTCGATAGCCACCAGTCACTCTGTGCAAACCTCTTCCTCAGATTCAAGCTTCTCAGTCTCTCACTTAACCCTGAAAACTACATCCTCACCAGCCTCAGAATCAAGTATGGTCTCCATGTCCTCTCCAGCCCCGGAGGCCAGACCTTTGACATTCTTGACAACAGAGGCCAGGGATAGCGCTCCTACTATTGAGGTGGCATCTGCCACCACTTTGGCTCCCACAGTCTCTGGGCTGACCCAAGTGGATAAGGAAAATCCCAGTAGCACCCAGGAACTGGCCACACATGCATCCACTCTGGCTGTTAGTGTCTCAGATGCAGTTGCCATGGTAACAACTCCCTCCTCTACACACCCTCCCTCTGATACCCCCATAAAGATGGAGGAGGCTGACATCGCAGTCCAAGAGACCACCACCCTGGTCATTAAAGAAACAACCCACTCCAAGGTTATTTCAGCCTACATGACCACCTCCGCCATGACAAGTTTCCAAGTGCCACAGACCACCTCCACATCTTCCATCTCACTGACAAATGAGTCTCCTGCAAATAAATTGAAACAGGATGGAGGTAACACCCTGTTGGTGATCCTGGTTGTGGTGATCCTGGTGGCGACTGTCATGGTAGCCCTGTTCTTGCTGTGGCGTCGGCGGCAGAAGAGAAGGACGGGGGCTCTGATGCTTGTGGGGAGTGGGAAACATAAAGGAGCTGGGGATACTTGGGCTGGACCAGTTCAGGGCACAGAGGACCAGGCTGCATCTGGGTCAGCAGCAGTGGAAGGGGGCACAGGGAATGCTGAAGGGGAGGGGAGTGGCCGTAGGCCCACACTCACCACCTTCTTTGGCAAGCGGAAGTCTAGACAGGGTTCTGTGATGCTGGAGGACCTGGAGGCTGGGGCAGCCATCAACAACCTCAGAGATGAGAGTGAACCACTTGTGGAAAACATGAATGGAGTTGTAAAGCCCCCTGAAGCTGATGGCTCAGGTGCTGATGGGTCAGGAGCAGGAGACGGGAGCTTGCCCTCAGCCCCAGTGACCGAGGTGTGAAGGGACCAGCATCATCAATCAATAAACAAGGCTTTATTAAAGTGTTCCAGGCACAGTGCTAGGCACTGCGAGGCAAGCGAGATAGAATTCCCTCAAGGAATTTAACTTCCCCATTCTTCATCAACTCTTTCAGTCATCTTACCAACCTGCTTTTTTTTCATCGTCATTATCTCCATCGACTCTACCTTCATCTTCTCCATGACCGTCATTTCCATCATCTTTCTCTTCACCGTTACAGTCACTGAGTATTGTCTGGGAAACACAGGGTGTCTCCAGTAAGATCCTGATGAAGTGAAATTTCTGGACTGCCTGATTTTTAAGAAAAAGATATTTTGACAAGCTCATGTCGTGGATTTGCCCAAAAAGACTTATCCAGGGTCTACCATAAGAGCCATCACTTGTGCTTCAACTCAGGACATTACCACCTGGCACTTAGTAGAGATAGGGATAGGAATAGTGACCAGACCACTGATTTCGTTGTTACAGAAATTTCTAGGGAGGCTCATGCCTCTACAAAAACGGGTCAGCATCTTCTCTGCAATGTATTGTCTTAAAGATTTGCTAGATGTTGAATGACTTGCCTGAATCACGCTCGTGTCATAGGTAGGATTTAAACCCAAATGTTCCTGGCTTTGAGAGCAGCTCGCTTTCTAACATGCCATGCTGTGCTGCCTCTCAGTAGTTCATTTAATCTATTTTTAATAAATTCTTGTTAATTGATTTTTACAGGCACCAGAGCAGTAAAGAGGCCTTAGGCCTTGCTGAATATTCCCCAGGGAGCTTAGGGATATGGGAATCCAAATCATACTGTCCCTGGAAGGTCTGTACTAAAGAGTTTCTTCCCAAGAGCTCGGGGGGGGGGGGGGGGGAGGGCGAAGGGATAGGAGTGAGCACCAGGACGAAGCCTGGAAAGATAGTGGAGAGGGATGGTACAGAGAGAATGTTGATAAAGTTATTGGGAGGGAGGGAGCTCTGGAGTCCAGGGGAATGGAGTAAGGAATGAGGTGAGCATTACCTCTCATAGCTGAAGAGTGGGAGGAGATGAGAGAGGAATGGATGTCTCTTATTTGTGGTCCAATAAAGAATTCAAGAGTTTATTAAAAAGGCAAAATGTGTGTTGTGTGTCTGTATTATTATTTATTCAATTATTATTTCATCCCAGAAGTTTCTTTGAACACTTTTCCAAAGGAGTTTATTCCCTTAACCAGGGGTGGGGAACCTGCAGACTTGAGGCCACATGTGGCTCTCTAGGGCCTCAAGTGCGGCCCTTTGTCTGAATCCAAACTTCACAGAACAAATCACCTTAATAAAAGGATTTGTTCTGTAAAACTTGGACTCAGTAAAAGCAGGACATGACAGAAACCCTAAAACCTAGACTCCTTTCTGGGTACTTGAGCTTTCTTGCCTGGTAATCTGGCCCCTCACGTAAACTCCAACGAGCCACTCAGGCTAAACTTCATCTGTCTGTTTCCCCTGACTGAGCTTCCTATTCGTAGTCAAGCATGTATGTGTTCCTAAGTGACTGTCTTAGTCTAGGAGAGTAAACTCTGATCACATAGGGAAGTCAGACCAGGTTTGAGGAACCTGGAACTTCCTTTCTTAGTTCAGGGGACAGGCAGAAGAATGATACATTTGAAAAAAAAAAATGGGCTCTGGCTCTTTAGGCTGGTCTCACCACTTTGGCCCTAGCTAAATTCAGTCTAATCCAGCTCAGTCCAAAGTCTAAAGTCTGAAGCCCAAAGCCCATCCTAAGAGACTCTAGCCTAGTGTAACCTAGCCCAGCTCAGTCTGTGGTGAATGGGTGAACATAGGCAAGAAACTTCTGAGGTAGTGTTGACATTCGAAGAGGAAATTTGCAAAGAAAAAAGGAAGTTATTGAGTCAGAACCCGCATGTGGTCTATGACCTTGTGGGAAAGAGAAATAGATTGTGACAGTCATAATGACAGGGAGGAGGGGAATGAAATCAAATTAAGGGAGGGGAGAAAAATTGGGAGTCAATATGAACCATCCCAGTTCAGAAAATGGTCCTGGCCTGCTGGAGAAGGGGTTTGGGTGGTGGTGGTGAAGAATGTTTGAGCATCAAGTCTAGATAAGGAGGAAAGACCAGAAAAAGACTTTCCAGCATTTCTAGCTTACATAATTGAAAGATCCAACCCCTGACCTAAATCAACAAGTCAGGTTGTCCACCCTCAGCTCTACTTGAAACCAGGCTAAGGATCTTTGCCAGCAGACCCAAGACTTAGGAAGATTTATTGATCATTGAACTTCAGCTTGAGGTATTGACCCTTCTGGCTCCTTCCTGGCCCCTGGATTCTGGGATCTACTGCACTGGATCCCTAATTAACACCTCCCCACCCTTCCCCACCCACTTCTGAAGCTGTGGTCCCTTGTAACCAGATGTTCTAATCTGATAGCTAATTTCTCTCTGGCTTCTTTTTTCAAAATTTCATTTGTTTTTGATTTTGAATTTAACAAACACCAAATAAAACGAATGTTTGAACATACATTATAGAACAGAAGAAGATTATACATGAAATTTTGAATCTCTATTACTCAGAGCTTACTTTACTTAAGCATATAATAAATTAAATGTGTAACTTTTACAAAGGGGCACCTAGCTGGTGCAGTGGATAGAATGCTGGGCCTGGAAGCAGGAAGACCTGAGTTCAAATGTGACCTCAGACACTTAGATGGCAAACCACTCCAATATTTTTGCCAAGAGAACCTACAGGGGGTCACAAAAGACTCTGACACAATTGACAATAACAACCTTTTACAAAATTGCCCTTCTTGTCTAAGATTCCTTCTGGTCTTCTGTTCGTTTCTCCTTTTGGCAGGAGGGGGGAACTCTATCCCCAGCCCCTTTCTCCCACTGAAAAGAAGAAAAGCAAAATTCTTACAATATATATGCATAACCAAGCAATAAATCCCTATGTTAGCCACATCCAAAAAAGACTTGTCTCATTCTGCATCTTGAGTCTATCCCAAGGTGGGTAGCATTCTTCATCATTACTTGTCTGGAATCATGGTTGCTCATTGCATTGATGAGAGTTCTCAAATCTTTCAAAGCTGTTCTTCATTATGATGTTATTATATAAATTGTTCTCTAGGTTCTACTCACTTCACTCTGCAACAGTTCACCCAAGTCTTCCCAGGTTTCATGCCAACTTGTTGGTTCATCTCCTGTCCAAACAGGATCAAAACAGAGCTTTCTCCAAACTTGTTTTGGGATTCCCTAATTTAGGCTCTCTGGAATGAACTAACTGATTTGGTTCTTCTTAAAGCCCTTTTGTATCAGTCTCTCTCTTCCTTTCCCCTCTTTTCCTTCCCCTTCCCTCTCTCTCCCCAGTTCATTCTTTCCCCTTTCTGTCTCTCCTCCTCTTCTTCTCCTTGTTTGTTTCTCTCTCTGTCTCTTTCCACTTTCCTCTATCTCCTACCTCTTTCTCCTTTCTCCTTCCCTCAGCACTCTTGCCTGTCCTTTCCTCCTCCTCTACCTCTCTATTTCCCTTCTCTCTATCCTCCGCCCCCCCCATCTTCTCTCCTCTCTTCCTCTCTTCCTCTCCTCTCAAGTTCTTGCCCTCATAAGCAGACTTGGAACATTGGTTCATTAATCTCCATCAATGAGACTTTTATAAAAAAATGGACTTTGAGACTCTGGTTACATTCCAATCCTAGGCACACTCTTAGCCAATTGGGAAACTGCCTGTGCTGTGGGTCCTAGTTTCCTGAGCTGTGAAAGGGGAAGATTGGACAGATGACCTCAGACGCCCCTTTTGTCTCTAGAGCAGGAGTCCTTAACATGGAGTCTGTGAACTAGTTGTTTTTTTATCTTGACAACTATTTCAATATAATTGATTTCTTTTGTAATCCTGTTTTTTATTTTATGCATCTAAAAACATCCTGCAAAGGGGTTCATAGTTTTCACCAGACTGCCAAATGGGTCCATAACAAAAAAAATTAAAAGCCCATTTCTCTCTCCCTCCTTGTCACAATCAACGGAATACAACATGGAGGGAGATCTCTAGTGGAGTGCCCTTGGGTTGCACACGGTCAGCACAGGAATTGATTATGTTTATTTGTTTTAAAAAAGGGTCTTATTTTTCTTTCTGTTTTCAATTGGTGGGGAAGAAGGAAAGAGAAAAGGGGGAGAGAAGTAAAGGGGATTTTGGTTAATTAAAAAAAAGGAAATGTGTCATCTATGGATCTTTGAAAGAACTAGAAATATTTTAACCTGGAGAAGAGAAGACTTGGCGGTATGGTGTAGGACAGGGCTTGTGGGTTGTCTTCAAGTATTTTGAAAGACTGTCATATGGAAGCAGTATTAAGCTTTTTCTGCTTGGCTCCTGAGGGCAGAAAAAGGAGCAAGGCGTAGAAATTGTAGATAGGCAGATCTGACCTTGATACAAGAAGAAAAGCAATTAAAACTCTTCCAAAGTGGGATGAACTGCTTCCAGATGGAGTGAATCACACGTTGGTGATTCCTGCTTGGATCTCATCCAAGTGGGCTAGGTGACTTGTTGGGTCCCTTCTAGCTCTGAGAGACAATAGACCTATAAGAAATGGAATGTTTATAGACAGGGTTCCCATCATCTCAAAAATCAGAATAATTCAACTTCAAACACAGAAGTATTCAACATTTACAAGAGAGAACTCCTTTTCTGACGTATACACACTTAAAAGACACACTTACCTGCCCCCATCCCGTTTTCATGTACACACTGAAACGCTATCAGTGTCCCCTACGTTGGGAGAAGGGAGGGACGTTCCAGGGAAAAACTGGGGGAGGAAAGATCTGGAGCCTTCATTTGGAAATAGAGAGGAGACACAGACTGTACAGTATAGCAGAAAGCCAGTACCGCTACAGGGTCCAATAGAGGAGCCTTGGTTCTGGGCGGGGATTTGGGGATTAGTGGGAGGAGGGAAGGGGGAGAGACCAGGCAACCAACAGGCTCTGGAGTTCTGGGAACGGGAAGACAGGGGCTGTGCTTAACCGGTTCCTCCACCCCACTCACCACCCCCTTTCTTTTATCTTCACCTGGTTTTTGTGATCTGAACTGAGTAGCACGAAGCCCAGTCCACCCCCATGGACAAGGAAGGTAAAGAATGGCCTTTTCCTCCTCTCACTCCTACCTCCCAATATCTCACCTCTTATCACCTTTCATCTTTCCCTCCTAAATGCCTGTATTTCTTCCCCTCTGGAAAACTCCCCGAAAGATCTCCAGCCTCCTCTTTTTTCTTCTTGTTATTTCCCAAAAGGAGGTATAGAGGAGAAGGAAGTCTCAGGGATCTCAGGTAATGGAGGAGGGAGCAATAGAGAAGGATTTTGTCTCCTGGGAAGGGAGTGAGGGAAGAGGACAGAGCTGATATTTGCAGAACTGCCTCTGAACTTTGCCTTCCAACTACCAACCTGAAAGGGGAGGGGGCAAAGTTCTGGTGAAGCGGCATAGGAGTGGGGGAAGGGACCCCGTCTGCTGGGTACTGCTGTCCTCCCCTGGGGTGGGAAGCCAACATGGTTGGGCACAACATCTGCGCAGACATGACACCGCAGGAGTGTGACAACTCATTTCATTTCAACAAATGGAAGGAGCACTAAGGTAGGAGTGGGGAGGCCCAGAACTTATTCCTGGCTCTGCCATTCTGCACGTGTGCCCTCTCTAGGCCTCAGTTTCTCCTTATGTCAAATGAAGAGATTAGGTCAGGCAATTTCTAAGGCCAGTTTTAATTTCTACGAATTGGTTGGCCATTCTGACTGTTTGATAGGAACATATTATATTGTTATTACAAAGGATGGTGAAAGATCAGATCTCAGTTGATCAACAAGCATTTATTAAAGGCCATCTATGTGCCAGGCATTGTGCTAGGCACTGGGGATAGAGACTGAATTTTCGATCCACTGAGATAGGAAACTCCCAGATAAGGAAGCACTATAGGTCAATGTTGCTCTCTGCAACTTAGTCTTAGAGACTTACCTAGAGCACTGGGAAGTTAAGTGACTTGTCCAGGGTCATACAACTAGAATGTGTTGAGTTGGATTCAGGTATTCTTGGTTTCAAGGCCAACTCTCTCCACTGTGCCATGTTGGATACACAGACAAAAGTGACCATCCCTGCTCTCAAGGAACCTATATTCTCTAGTGGGGAGACAACATGGACATAAAGTCCAGCGAGCATATCTCTTGACTATCTCAGAGCCAGTCTGGCTACATCTTCCCCTCAGGCATCTAGGGGTACCACTGAGGGACTGGGGTATCTCTTCTCTAAACATCCGCTATTAGCCGTGTTCCACCCACTGATTGGTGCCAGTGACTAGGCCCCCAGTTCTATTTAACCAATTAACATCAATTAACTTTTACAAAGGGATATTTATGTACCCTCCCCTCCATCAGCTTGTGATCCGTGGCTCCTACAAGCCCCACTCCTTGGAGGATTTGCTCTTTATGTTATCTACCCTGATGGGTGCCATATGGAGAATCGAAACAGAAACTCCCATTTCCCTTCTCAAATCATTCTCAGCTCCTCTACTGATTAACTTGTTACCTCTGTGGTCAAAAAGGGACACCTTTTTCTTCCAAATTCTCCTTTTCTCAGGGGCTGATGAATCAAAACTACACAACTTATTTTTCAGGACGTAAGCTAGCACTAAATAAACACTGAGTCGTAACAAACCGGTGGAATGATGGGGCTTGTGCTCACCAGCCTGAGGAGCCCAAATCCTGTATCTGACGGCTTCTCCCCAAGCTTACACAGCCTAGGAAGGAAGCACTAAATCAAGGTGCATCTTAGCATGAAGGAGACAATGCTAGATTTGGATCCAAGGGATCTGTGTTAGAATCCTGGCTCTGCCATATATAACTTGAGTAAATTACTTAACCACTCTATGTTTCAGTTACCTTTCCTGGAAAATAAAGGGGTTAGAATATAGAAAAAAGAAACACAAAAACAAAGGGATATTTATTTTAAAGATGTAGCAATAACCACACTTTCTCCTATACCACCTCAGTCTCTGGATACAATGGTCTCAGACTTAGCACAATTTCTCTATAGCGTTGGTCCTGATAGGGTGATGGAACCTGGACCTCTAAAAAGAAAAGACCATGTCTCTGAAGGCAACCCAGCCCCTGAACTTTCCCACACTGGTGTTTTGCCTGAGGCATCTGACCCTTTCCAACCTACCTAGACACTCAATAATCCTTTTGATTGTCCTCTCACTGTGGCTCTCTGACCCAGCCCAGACCACTCCACTACTTTGTCTGCATCTGGTCCACTCCAGGACATTTACTACACTTTAATTCCATCCAGATCCTCTCATTGTCCTTTCTTATGTATAAGTACCAATCCTACTCCCATTAAATTGTGCAGATTCACTTAGAATCTAGCCCACTTCTATTGGTGTCACAAATAAACGTCACCACCTTGACTGAAAGAAGGCTTGAGGGGTTGAATTCTTCTGAAGCAGACCTCCACGCACCCTTGCATTTCAGGGTTCCCAGCACCCCAAACTGCTGCAGTTCCACCAAGTTCAAGTGCAATACCAATGCTGGGATGATCCTTCATTTAGGCTACTGCTGGGCTGGGACCTAAAAGTTACTTCTTAGGGCACCTATACTGGGCTGGTTGCAAAGCCCAGAATGGACTTGACTTCCAGACTCCTGAGGCTGTCCAAACTCCTGGGTGTGCAGAAGGCTCAGTCTGCTGACCTTCTGAAATTCACAGAATTAGAGTCTCTAATGCCTCCACCCTAAAGGAAAAAACAAATGATGAGGTGAAAGACAGAAGCCTGTTTTCATGGGGCCACATGTTGGTTAGAGAGAGAGAGAGAGAGAGAGAGAGATTTTGAAGGCACTGAATCAAAGAGGCTGCTGTCAAACATGTGCTTAACAGACTAAAACCAGTTACAGAATGTCTACAAACACTCCAAAGTCTTGTCACCACAACTCTACTCAAGGCAGGTCCCCGCCTCCCCCACCCTCTTTCATATGCTCTTTTCAGCATTTGAGTAGGCTGATGCACTCTGCAGAGGTTCGTAAGTACTGGTCTTATTGACCAGTCCTCACTACACCGAAAAATAGAAACTAGATTTATTTTATTTGGCAAGGAGGGTACTAGCCTAGTAGTTGGGGGAATCAGGAAAGGATGCATGTAGAAGGGGGCATTTTAGCTAAATCTAGAAGGAAACTGGGGATTCTAAGAGATGGCAATGAGGAGGCCAGTTTAACAGCATTGAGGGATATATATTTTTTTAAAAGGTAAAAGCAGTAGCCTTCATATTACATATTACCCCCTCATATTACAGAGGAGGAAATTGAGGCCCAGAGAAGGGCTGTGAATTGTCTAAGGTGACAAAGAGAATTAGCAGCATAGTTGGAACAGAGCTTTTATCTCCTCTTGCCATTATACTGTTACTGCCTCTAGTATTTTCTTAGAATAATTTAAAGATTAATAGGGTGATGTTTCATGTTCACTAACTTAGTTTTTGTAAGCACTACTGTGGGCAGAACTCTTTATTTATATATCTTTTTTGAAGGCAATCAACCCTGGGAGGTAGGTGCTATTATTATTCCCATTTTATAGTTGAGGAAACTGAGGCAGACAGAGGTGAAGTGACTTGCTCAAGGTCACACAGATAGTAAGTGTCTGAGGCTGGATTTGAACTCGTGTTCCTGCCTCCAGGGCCAGTGCTCTATCTACTGTGTTACCTACTTGCCCCTGTTTATACTTCTTTTCATCATTCTCCACAACAGGTAAGAAATCAGTAATACTAATCTCTCTTATTTAAAGTAAATCTCCTGAGTAACATCCAGGAAAGACCCAGTCTCCTAAGGTGAGGCCACCATTTTTGGATGGGACAAATGTGTTTCTTCCCAAGCCCTGGCCACACACTGCTTTTTCCATCTGGGATGCTTGATAGAGGTCCTGGCTTTGCTCATTTTCTGATTTGTTTGACTAAGTGCTGGTAGAGTTGGACTCTATGGCACACTTCTTCTCAGTTAATAGGGGAAGCCTATTAACTGGCTGTGTACTCCTCCCCCATCATATGAACACAATGATAATAATGGAACATTACCATTGCATTCCTCCCTTCCCTATCAGGTATCCCAGAACCATGTGTATGTATGACATGTTGGTTATTACAGACCATGTCTTGTGAATCCATACTAATGTTTACCAAAGAAAACACATTTCTCCATGCTCCCAAATCTATCTACAGCCCAACTTCTCTCTCAAGCTCCAGGGCCCCATTTTCATCCCCTAGTTGTCCTATAAGCACTTTAAACTCAATAAAGTGTAAATTAAATTAAATTAAACAAAGTTTAAGTTCTATTTATTTTTTGTCTTTGGATTCCAGACACCTAGAAGAGTGTCTTATACCTTCTTTGTCTGCTATGTGCAAGGCTCTGCACCAAGTCCTGGGGTCTCAAACGTTTGTTGAGTGAATTCAACATGTTCAAAACTGAACTCATCATCTCCTTCTTCCTACCCTTGACATCTACCTAAACAAACAAACAAACAAACAAACAGAAAACCTTGTCCTGACTTCTCTGCAGAGCTATTCCTAAGCTTGGGCAATCAGAATTGCCAGAATTTAGAAGGGTTGATTATAGCATTTTAAGTTGTATGGGATTAAAACACCAGAATCACAAATACTAGCTGGAGGAAGTGTGGGTGGCTAGATATAAGCTTATATGGAAAAACTGGGGGCAGGGTGGGGTTTTAGTGGACTGTAAGCTTGTTATGAGTTTCCAGTCTCTGCCCAATTTACCATAACATTTCTAACCTTATTTCATGTTACTCCCAACATATCTATTATGTATTTTATGCTCCAGATAAAATGGAGCT